TCCAGTGACTCACTTGCTGCTTAAGCTGCTGGTCAGTGGGAGCTGATGGGTGTCTGAATGTTGGTAATTTTTGGCATAAAAAGATGTGGGGTTTGGAGGGTTTTGTTCTGAGTACTTTGTGTAAGTACTCAGACTCAGCATTTGAGTGGATTCCTGTGATAAACTTCAATGTAAAGAGCATGTGGTGTTAAAACAATGCTATTGGTTCCATGTAACATGATGTTGATATTATACTTTTGGTTTAAGACAACCCAAATAGGAACTAAGTGGGTGAAGAAGAAAAATAATGTAAGCGCAGCAGTGTTGGGCCTTGTGATTTTAACTGGCATTAGCAAAAGGCACTGTAAAGACTCACAGGCCAGCTGGAAATGTAGCTTATATCTTGTCTTTCCTAGACTTGTATGATTCATGTAAGTTGGAGTTCCTGTCTATAGAAAGTGTTCAGTAAATAATGACCTAGGCCCCTTCTTTCTTAACTTCCTTAAACAGGAAAAGGAGAATGCATCTCATCTGCTGTGTACCATCCCTCCTCTTAAGCCAGATCTTAGGCTCCTTACAACTATTAATCTTCATTAAGATTTGATCCCAAGCGGCTCTTGATTTGTTTTAGCCATATGTGTCAGGATAAAGTGAACTGCACCCTGGAAATCACATGTTTCTCCTCTATCATTTCCAAAGGTGCTTTAGCTGACTGTCTATCTGTGCATAGATACCAGTAAGTGATCAGATAAGGCACACTGCAACAATAGAACAATTGCATTGGCTTTGCCAGACAGGGTTGCTATTAAGGTTAAAAGGTGTTCAAGATGACTGAGGAATGTGGTATTTCATTGAGGACGCAGCTTTTGGCTGAATTTGTGTGTTGCTAAGTTGGACTCTGTTTAAAAGACTGCACACATTTGCACACCTTCTCTATGGGACTATTTGTCAAAAGAATCTATGGGGTTATTCTTCAGAAGAATACCCAGTTTGTGGAGAATGATTTTTTAAAAGTATTAATTTAACTTCATTTCTTTTGTCAGATGTCTGATTTTGAAGAATGTATCTGCCTATTTATTTTATCCTACTTGATTTATTCCAAAAAGAATGATGAAAAATGATAAGGGGAAGCATTGAATGTGCCTACTATTACAAAATATCCACTGTATTGTAAACATCAATCTTGCAAGATTTTGTTTGAAAATATTTGCAATTGATTTGGGATGAAAAACCTTTAACATAAAATAAGTGAACGATAATTTCTGTTTGGTTGAAAAACAGCTTACCTGCAGTTAGCTTTGATAGATGAATGAAATCCCAGGGTCTTTAAAAATCTCTTGATGACTAAAAGTAGTGGGAGAAAAGATACTAAATGTACCTAAAGAAGTTCCAGGGCTGTGGGTGTGCCACATGCATTTTGTAGTTTTTATCTTAGAAAGTTCCAAATGCCTTTTTTTGTTTTTAATAGCTTATCATTATCATTTGAAAGGGATGAGGAGGAAAGGCCTTTCCAAATTTGCAAACAGTAAATTTAAAAAATTGAAGAAAACATGAATACACTAGCTTTCTCTATTGTCCTGCTCTAATGTTTATGCACTCTCTTGGTTTAAGATTGGATTCATTTGACTGTCTGTTTCAGTGAGAAGGCACAAAGGGCAAACAAACTGCTTTTTGCAGTATGTGGGAACAATAAAACTGCACAATAAAACTCTTAATTTATGTGTAAAATGACTTTAGGTTATTGATCCATATATGTATATTCACCTAATATCTAAATATAAAAAATTAGGTTCAGAATTTGTCTATTACAACAAAGCTGCAGCATTCTCTCTGACTGTCAAAGAGAGCATTCTGGTTTTGTGAAAGTGTATTACTGAAATATTCAACTTCTGAAATGGACAAAAAGGGTAAATACTTGCTGAGGACTCAGTCTTCATAGAAAATCTGAAACTTCCCTCAGGTTTTGGTAAAGAAGATCCATATGATATAACTGGAATTGTAGACAGCTAATGGTCCTCAGCTCTTTTGAAACGTGTTGAGCTCTGATTACAAAGGCTTTGCCAGCTTATGCTTGTTTGTACACAGCAGTGCTCTTCTAACTATGGTAAAAAGTTTAAATTAGCAACTAAGGGAGTTACAAAAAGAAAGGGACAGGTATTACTTAATTTTTCTGAAATCAAAGCAAACACAAGATTCACATTAAGATTATATTGTATCTTTTTGTTTAACTGCGCAGTACTCAGACCTTTAGTTGCCTGTACTTCACACGAGATTTCTTTGTTGGTGGTTAAATGCTGCTGTATCAGCTCTGAGAATACTGAACCTGAGAATGCTGTGCTGGTGCCATGTAGTGATATTTACTCTTTCTGCATTGGCTGCAGCTGAGGTACGTAAGGGGTTGTCTTTCCAAATCAGGGATTAGTATCTTCACTGTTCTTCAGACTGCTGTTACTTTCAGCTTTTATAAGCAAAGTTGACAGGACTCCTTAGCATTTGACTGCTAACTCCAGATCTTGAGGCTAACAGGGTGTATTCGTTAGGTGCCCTATCTTGTATCTTTTGCACTTGGTCGCTTGATGGTTATATTTATGCTTCCACTTCCTGACCTTACTACATACTTGAGTTTTCAAATGTTGAAATCCTTCGTTCCATCTGCTGCTTCAAGATCCTGGGTAGTTGCTGAGATTTAAAAGATTAAAGCAGCTCTGTGATGTTGGCAAATTTTCAGCAGCGAGGCTTCTGTGCAACACCATCAGTTCCTTGAGCTCCTTTCCGTGGCCTTTTTTTTTTTTTGTTGCAAGATCTTGATACTGTACTCCTACTTCCTTATCTGATAGTAAGTCCTCCTACAAAGCTTTTGGATATTGAATAGCTAGTCAAGAGTTGTGCAGGACACGTATTGTGATGTGTTGCATTCTTATCAGCTTGCAGCGTAATCAACTTCTTTTCTGTGAAGTTTTCATGGTCACCATTTGTGTCCTCATATTGTTAACAGCTGTCTTCTGATGAAGAAAACACTGAAGTTGAAAGATGAAGAAAATCCTGCTTCTCAGACTCTTTGTGGAGGAAACAGGTTGCTGATTTCCTGCTTGGGCTTACTGTCAGGCTCTGCTGGGGTAGAAAAAGTTTAGGAGAAAAATATTAGGCAAAATCATTGGGAAATAGCACCTTTAGGCATTTCTGGCAATTTACTGCAAAAGAGTAGTGAGAGAAAAAGTTTAAAAATTTAGGTCCAGCAGGTAGCACAGAAGTTCTTATAGACTGGGTGATATAGACTGTTAAATGCTAGTGCAAGTTTAGTGGTAATGAGTTTGGCTTCCAGACATGTGTGTTAAGGGCAATAGAACTTGTTACTTTTTGATGACTGATTTGTTTATAATGTTCATTATCTTTGAGCTGTGTGTATTCTAACAGGAAAGAACAAATTAAGTGAAGTGTACGTCTTAAAAGGATTTGTCCTACTTGTTGTATCAGACCATATGAATTATTGACAAGAAACTAAACCTTGTAGGTGCAGACAACTTTAAGTGATACTTACAAGCATACCATTGCTTTAATAATTTTACGAAATCAGTAAATATCGTAGCTTTATTTCATTTGATTATTTTCTAAGAGAAGTCTGACTTGAGAGGAGTGGAGGAATGGTCCTTTTAATATTGAGGACTTGATTCCTGTTTCTCCAGGGAAATTTGAAATGCAGATAGTTCTTGCTATGTACCTGAAAACTTGGCTTATTCATCGACATCGTGTTTTTCAGTTCAGGAAATGTATTTCTGTATTTCAATCCCCAAGCTCATAGAAAATTTCTAGGATTTCAGGGTGAGGGTTCAGCTTTATGATTAAAAGCCCTACTGTTCATGTAGGGCACGTAGAAGTTTTTCTAAGCTATTGATAAAATGTGTGGCAATGACTGAAGAATTAATAATGTAAGAAGTACCAGCATGAATGAGGAATTTTATCTTAGTATGTCAGGGAGAGTTCATCATCTGTTCCTCAGTATGGAGGGGCTCTGTGCCAGCAGGGGAAAAAGCTCTGAAGTGCCAAACCCTGGATTTCAATGGGCTCTATGACAGGCTGCAACAGTGTTCTTTCTTGAGACCATATTAATGGCTATGACACATCTCATAAGTTGTAAAGCTCTTCTTATATCTATCCATGCTGTTATCCGAAGTTATTAGGCCTTATTGTTCCGTGTATGCCTTCTTTGTCCCTCAATATGTCTTGTTTCTTTTTTAGTCTCTGGTTGTCTGGTGCTGTAACACATGTACCAGCTGTATTCCTTCTTGGCATGCTGGTTAGCTTGCCTCTGGACACCTTTGTATATCTCAGTATTTATGAAGGAAATCAAATAAAGTATGCAGTGACTGGAGGGAACCCTGAGAAGCTGGAGGGTGTAGGTCTGCCATCCAGCAGGACCTCAGCAAGGTAGGGGAAAGCACAGGTAGAAAGCTCCTGGAGTTTAACCCAGACAAATGTGAAGACTTCCTCTGAGGAGTAACAACTTTGTGCAGCTGTGCTGGTGGACAGGGACCTTTGCAACCTGGTGACCAGCAAATGGCCCTTACTGAGCAGTGAAAAGTGGCAGTGTCCAGTGGCATTAGTCACAGTGGTGTGTGGGTTCCCCTGGCCTGAGGCTGCCCTCAGCAGTCTGTCCTCTTCCTGAGCTCTGTGAGTAGTTACTTTGCATCTGAAAGATGATCCCAAGGTGCAACTGCTGTGGGAGGAAAGGGAGGTGGAGGCAGAGGAAGACACAAACCAGACCAAACAGGTGAGCAAATGCAGTATCTTCTGTGGTACACCTGCATTTTAATTTGCCTTTGCATCAGACTACAGGTCATAATCTATCCTCTGATTAATGTCTGCTGGCCTTTGCTGTCTGCCACCTGATAGGCTCTGGCATAGAGGAGACATTCCTGTAAGTTACCAAGTTCATATTCTTATCTTGCACTTATGTATCTCATTTTCAGGTTTTCATACTCAGTAGTACTTGGTTTTTTTTCAAGCTGTCTTTAAGGTGTAGTGGATGTTGGCTGAAAGGATGTCATCTCTAGTGAATCTAAGCTGTGCATTAAGGAGCTGTCCTGCATAGAATGTGTGCAAGTAAGAGCTGTGTCTTTCTAAGATTTGAGAACAAGACTTTAGCAGTAATGCCATTGAAACTGCAGTGGTAAAATCCATTATTTCCATTTCATGAGTCCAAATATATGAATGTATTCAAAAGCCCCAGAATGAATAGTCATTGATTTTTTTATTGACTTGTTCATGCTCTTTGAAAGTATGTTTAAGAAATGAATTGAAACTTTTCTCAATTAAAAGAAAAAAAATAAAAATAAACACACACTATTGGAAAATATTTATATATTGGGCTTTTATTATTCTGAATGTTTTTTATAGTGATGTATTATTTCTAGAATTAATAATTATTAGTTAGTTGCCCATAGCATCTCTGACCTCTCTAGTTTGTTGTTTTTCAGCATCTGATTTGGAGTGACTACTGATTCCAGTCTTCTCATTTTCAGGAGCACAATCTGAAAACGCAAGCTAGAATATGATGAATGAATGAGCAAATGACTAAAGGCAGGGTGTGGCTTCAATGGCAATTAGATTTTGTTTGAAGAGGAGTTGACTTTAAAAGCACTGGTGATCACCACTCTTCAGTGAGAGCAAACAGGCCCTGCAGACCCCTGTCCATGGCCACGGCGTGTGTGGTGTTCTGGTCAGCAGTGTGTAATGGATTACTCTAGGATAAATTGTTTCCTTAGCTTGTGTCTGCAGCTTCTGGTCTGAGTGACACATTCTTTTATTAGAGGAGAGTTTATCCATCATCATTCTGATTCCTGGGACTCTCAAAGTACCTTAACCTGGAAGAAAGTCTTTCACTGGTCAAAGGGGGTGCTGTGATGGACGTCAGAGTTCAACTGTCCTTTGTGTATGCTGGGCTGGGTAACTGGTGACATTATCCTCGTTTTAAAAGGCTTCAGTGTCAGGTCTTGAGTTTTCTTCCATCGTCTCCTGTATTCCTCCTTCACTGCAGCTGTGCAGGAAGCTGTATCTAGCAAACTGAACTGTGTTACGGGGGGGTGGTGGAGGAGAGAAGTCATGACGAAGGAAAGAAACACATTCCTGAGAGTCCTTATTACAGGGCATGAAGAGTATGGGAGATGGCTCATTTATGAAAGTTGTCCTCCACCCTTAAGCAGCTGTTCTGGTTTTGTGCGTTGCCATGCAGTATTTGAACGTCTTGGGAAGCCACAGATGTTTGACTCATACACTGGACCTGATCTGATCCTTATTCCTAATGCTGGAGCCTTCTGGCTGAGATCTCTGTGACGCAAACCTTGCTCTCAGCTCCCACTTCAGTAAAGAGCAACAGTTTTGTTACATGTTAGGCCCCGCACTTTGTCCTCAGCTGTTTCACCACCACTTCCTGTGTTTATAGCTGGACAGCAGGTCATGGCTGTGGACATGACATTTACTCAAAATTATGACAGTTTTTTGTGACTTTATGCCTGATATAGATGTTTCAGAGAGAAATGCATCTTTATATTCTGTGGCTTCACATATATATCTATGGCTTATTAAGAAAAAAAAGGGTAACATTAACATAGCACGGCTTAGATCAGCTTTTTTTCATGTATTGCTAGCCCAGGATGAAAACATAAAGACAGTTTTTGTGACTAGGTGGTACATAATTGGATGGATATATCTATATTCTGTTTTTCGGCTTGTAATCCAGTGTTGGATGAATACCTGTGAATATGTTTGCATGATAATAATTTCTCATAGTTTTTATGTGATGGAAACAGTGAAAGTAGTCATTCCTATGCAAAGAAACATAGAATTAAAGTGGAGTTTAGCTGGAACTCGACAGCTGTTTGATCCATATCCAGTTGTAGGGCCCAGATGTGCCATCCCTTCATCACATGGCAGTGGTGGGAAATAGCCCAGAGAAGCAGCCTGGTGCCTCAGGAACCTGTGGTATTTCAAAGATGAGCAATGAATTGGGTGATAGTGGGGTGTATATCTCCTTTCTCCTATGATACTTCTATTTGCTTTGCTTTATACTTCTTTTTGCTTGACCTACCCTTCATTGTTTCAGTTTTCTGATGTTCTGCTGTTACTTCTTCCAGTTGAGCTTACTCTGCCTTAAAATTTGCTTCTTGGAATGGAGGTTTAATTACTGAACAGATGTGTTGTCTTCATTCTGCCTGCTATAACTGCCTTAATCTCAGCTCTTCATTTTGAATCTTAGACTTCTAGCTCATTAAGTCCTGTGGAGTTAGAACTCTTTGTTAGTTAAAGACACTAAAAAAATAATACTCTTATCAGATCTTGCTGCAGTTTTGTAAACAAGCTACTTAATCGTGCTTTTATGTTAATGCCAAAGAAACAAATAAAAATGTGTTGCCCTGTGATTATAAACAAATGAATACAAAATTGCAGTCTAAATATTGAGACGCTTTTCCTTCCTTTGGGTTTTGTTTTTTTTTTAAAAATTCTCTTTAATGCATTCCGAAACAAGATTAACTAGAGACTTAAATGGAAATGAATCAGTTATGGAAGAAAATAAAGAAAGTAAAAGGGAGAAATTGATGTTGCCTGAAATCCTTCATGGTCTGAAGCTAGAGAAGAGGGAGAAGCCAAAATGTAGCTGCAGGGATTGCTTGCATATAAAACTTAGGACACAACAGTGGGAATGCATTGAGGTACAAGAACTGGAATACAACTATATGTAGTGAAGTCTTCAAAAGCTGGGGGTGTCATGCTCAGTGTCTGAGATCTGCAAGCAATTGGCAGCATTTGTCAGAACTGTTCTTGGAAAAAAACTGCTTTTCCTGAACTTGGGGCCCTCATCCAGTCTTTTTTTTTTTTTTATGTTCTTGGCTTGTGCTCATGTGAACTAGAATGGAATTAGCAAGAGACAGTAAAGCTGTGGTTGTGTCTCTACTCAATGGTATAAAGTTGGCTTAAGAAATTCCTGCTCCAAATCATTCTTCCCTGCCTGTATAACTTTTTCCAGGAAGAGCTGGGTTTTTTCATGGGACTGAAATGTGAAATGTCTGATCCAATTTTTCAAAGAGCATGGAAGAAAACTTCCTAATACTTTTTTTTTTTCCCCAAGGCATCTTACTACTCGCAAACAGGGTAGCTCCATGAATGGTTTTGCTGGAATGACTGAAAGAAAGAGTGGGCACCCTGTGATGGCAGCAAGGGCACTCCTTGCCAGAAATGAGTCCATTCAGCTCTCAAGGCAATAGCCTGACTAAGCAGCAGTGTTCATGGACTCTGAACAAAGTGTCATCCATCCTCAGTCTTCTGTTTTTTCAGGTAGCGATAAGGAAGGAGGTGTCCAAAGAGACATGAGCTTTCAAGCAAAAAAACCCCACAAGCTGTGTTTTAGCAATGCTCCATGAAAGCAGCTTTTACTGGCAAGTTAAATTTGACTGGCCTGGAAGATTTGACCAGTCTAGATTAGAGATAAATGATCTAATGAAGTGTGCCATCTGAACACCCTGCAGGTTAATTGACACATGGCAAGCGCTGTATTTTTTCCTAATCTCATTGCAAGGTTATTCATGAAATAGCTGCACCATGTGCAGGTTTGAGCCAGAAGGTCACCAAAAGAATTAAGAAAATTCCCACTGAGTTTCAGCTTCTTTCCTTTGTTGTTAGCTTCAAACATATAGACTGTTGTCTATACAAGAACAGAAGAAACCTATTTTGATGTGATGGGTATTAGGATTGATAAAATTTGATCTGAAATCTTTTATCAGTAGACCGTGTTTTAGCAGTGATGTGTTTTTTTTCTTTTTACCATCAAATCTCCTGCAATTCTTGTAGTTCTTTGAAATCTATGCTTTTTTATAGCTGAAATTCAAGTCAAACTGTGATGGCAGGAAATGACTTAAATGAGTGTGTGTTTGCCCCTTCTCCCCAGACTCAGAGTATTTTTGTGTAAAATTTTAAAGAAAAACCTCTTCTATGCATGCAGGGCAGCTTTAGAAGAGGTAGAAGGAGATGTGACAGAGCTGGAACTGAAACTTGACAAGGTAAGCTTTTAACTCAACCATGTTTGGTCTTAAAACGTGTGTTTCAGTTTTGTTTTAAGGTTGACAGCTGGTAAGTGTCAGTGGCTGACCAAGCCCCCTGCTCTGCAGAGGAAAGGATCCAGGTCAAGCTCATGGCTGTGCCTTGGAGGCTGAGCTGGATCAGAGCAGTGCTGAGCAGCTGAACTCGCGGCGTGAGCTCACTCCTTGCCCCAGCTGAGGCTGAGCTTGTGCAATTCCCTCCTGGCCTGGCCCCTCACTGCGCTCCTGTGACTCAGCCCATGGGGCAGCTGCTGCAAACTCGTTCAGCTTTCACGTGAGATAAAAGCTGGGGCTTGGTCACTGCTGCCCCAAGAGCCTGTTTTACCACAATGGCAAGGAGCTGAGTCAACATAAAAATTACTGGATAACTACAACAGGAAGGATGCTTGGATGGTTTCTTTGCCCCAACATAGGATCAAGTATTTCTGTGTTGCTTTTCATGAAAATTTATTTACCATCCTTGAAAAATCCTTCAGAGATGAAGGTTCAATTTTCTGGTTCTAGTCTCAACTTGACTTAGGGTCAGGGAAGTCAATCATAATGTGCCCCTTCTCAAGAGAGCATCTTGGCAATTGCAGTAACCACTCTTTCCTACATTAATGGCCTAGTGCATAAATGGTTCAAGAAGCGAGAAAACATCCATCACAAAATACTGAGGACCTTCCTATCAGACTGCAGTACCATGAGGGCTGAGATACTGACTGAAGCAGTGAGTGGTAGGGATGGAAAGCTGTCAGAGATTAATCTGTTTGTGAGTGAAAACATAATTGATTTTACCTCCTGAGATGTAACCATGACTCTTCAGCTGTGCTTTGTGCAGAGCCTTTTGCTGTCCTGTGCCTGTATTCTGAGTGTCTCAGGAAGAAACAACCGGTGTTGTTTTTGTTTGTTTTGTGGTGTTTTTCCTCAGAAACCACTGTAACGTCCTCATTTGATTGGGTTCTAACCCATTTTTAGTTGCTGTACTCTTTGCTCCTGTAAAACTCTCTTGAAATATGTGTAACATCTCAGTTAACAATAAATCAAGTAAAAAATAATTTAAAAAAATATATAGAGTGGTAACTTTCCCAGTAACATATCTGTTGACCTAGAGTAGTATTCTTATAGCTGTCACTATACAGTAGAAAGCTGTTAATAGAATTTGAGGGTGAGAATTTAAGCTATGAAAGTTTTATTTCATAGCCTTAACTAAGCTCAGTGAGCTCAGTGTGTTCATATTTATATGATGGTGTAAAAACCAAACAAAAATAAGCCTTCCTCTTTCTCTCTCTTTTTATACTCATTTTAGCTGGTGAAGCTTTGTATTGCAATGATTGATACTGGGAAAGCATTTTGTACAGCCAACAAGCAGTTCATGAATGGAATTCGAGACCTTGCACAATATTCCTGTAAAGATACATTGGTTGAGGTAAGTTCTTTGAGGTGAAAATGGAGGGAGAGAAACCCTCTTAAAATATCTTAAAAAGGTACGACATAACAGTTGGCAAGAGAAGTAGTTGAAGTTTATAGTATTTGCCTTTTTGCTCCTTTTTCTTTGATATCTTTCTTAGAGTGAGGGTTTTTCTGAATGTGGTGCCCTGCAGGTGTCTGTGCTGTTTACTTTCAACAGTGACACAGGTCTGCCAGATTTCAGAAAATGTGTTAGATTAGTGTACACACTGGTGCTTGCAACATGTTAACCACTTTTTGTAAGAGTATTAAACATGAAAAATATTAATTAGTGTGATATTAAATAGTATAAATTAATGTTTTAGATTATGTGAGCTTCCCATATATTTAGTCAGTTTGAATTTTTCCTGCTTTCCCTCAGTTTGGTACTTCATATACAGGTAGGTAGAAATAACATTTTTGTTGCTTGTATCTTTAACGATTTGTTTGATATTACAGCTGTGTTCTCCTTCTAGCCTAATGGTTATAGTCTCATAATTGAGCTGTAAGGAAAATGAATTTCCAAGTTCTTTACTGAAAAGCTATAAACCTCTGAATTGTTGTTTTGTGCTGTGTGTTTAGTAGGCTTAACTTAAACCACTTTTATTTTATCTTTACAGACCAGTTTGATGAAGTTCTCTGACACCTTACAGGAAATGATCAATTATCATAATGTGAGTATTTCTAGCTGCAGCATGGCACTGATAGCTCACCTCCAGTTATATCTGATAATTGATTAATGGTAAAGCCTTTCTTGTTCATAGTGTTTGCAAAGTAATGGTTTAAATGGTGGTAAATCACTCTTGTTTTATATTTGTAAATATTTTATTAATATTTTGTTTACAAAGTATTTATAAATATCCCCTTTTCTACAGATTTCCATCTTGGTTTATTTTTTTATTTGGATTTTGTAATATTAGGTGCTCTAACACAGTAAATATTGAATAGTTTCATCTTTTTAAATCAAACTGATGGGAACAGTTACAGACTTACACTTTTGTTGGTCTGAAGTAATGATTGTCCTTTCCATAATTGGTACTTTTTCCCCTATCCTTTATAATACACAAAATGAACCTCTGATTTGCATATAGTTTTCTTCTTGGAAGGATAGCAAATTTAGACAAGTGTGGAGAAAGGAGAAAATGCTAGAATTTAAGACTAACCAGAAACTTCAGTTTTCCCTGGGTTGAAAACTAATTTGTTAGCTTTTCCTCTAAAGCATTTGGTCTTGTATTCTGAAAGGCAAAAGGATGGTGTTTTTCTTCTGTTTTCTTCCTCTTTCATTGGCCCAACTGCTCTTCATTAATTTCCCAGCAAATTGCTGGAAGCAAACTGGAGTGTCTCCAAAGTGCTGAAAATACGCAGGGTACTTAAAATGTGGGTTTTTCATACCACTGTGATTTTAAAATTGACAAGATAAATAGAGAATGCAATGGAAGTTTGTTAGCTTTAACTTAGCTTTCTAAAAATGTCTGATTAGGCTTTTTGTTTCAAAATGCATGCTTTTAGAGTGGAAGGGGGGGAAGCAAAGCAGGTTAATAGCATTGTGTTTGATTTTCTTTTCATTATACAAAGTGTATGTATCTGCACCTAATCTAATGAAAACTGTAAAGGGGGTAAGTGAACAGTGGTTCTTGGGTTGTAGAGAAAATGGAGTGCAAAGCTTCAAAGCAGCAGTACTGGAGCAAGTATTAGTTTCATGTCAATGATTTCTGCAGATTAGATGGAGCAGATAAACCCAGGCTGTCCCTCTTCATTATACATGTTGCTGCTGGTTACCCTCTTAACCATGTCTTTTATCTATGGTTTGCTCTTTTGGACACCTCTGACATAGGTCCTGTATTATTGCTGCTGTTATTCTATGTGATCCAGCTTGCACTTATTTGGTAAAATTTGGCATAGCACAACTCTTCCCTTTTAGTCAGTTTGAAGGCAGAAAGCGAAGAACAATCCATATTAAAGATTTCTTTTCAGATCTAAGTAGGACCTGTCTGAGTTCTGTTCTGCTTTTTTTCCTCTACCATGCCCTTGTCGTGCTCAGGCATAGTGAGAATAAAGTGGCTTTTCCCAAAGGCACAGACATCAGGAGTGAGGCACAATTGCTTTGCCAGACATGTTGTGGTCTTGCATGGCTTTTTGTAAATATGCTTCAACAGGGCTTCCTGGCTCAGAGTGACAGGTCTGTTGCTGACCAAGGTGACAGAGCCATCAGGAGGGAGAAGCTAGAGAAAGAAAGAGGAAAGAAAGGATGGAAGGGGTAGGAGATGCTCCCACTGAGTTCTGGATGACTGTCAGTTTTTTCATGTGAGGCTTTGCTACAAATAAGGCCAGGGACCAGAGTAATGCAGCATCTTAAGTGAGTCAGCAGTGGGGGAGTAGCTGTCACAGCTTATGGCAAATAGCAGCTTTCTTAGACATGGAGTATATGAAAGGTTGTACGTTGACAAAGCTGTAAATCTAATCAGATCATGGTCTGGGCACTTCTTTCTGTTCTTTTAGGGGGAATTATGTCTGTGTATATTTCTGCCCAGCACATTTTTTCTGTTCATTACTGTAAGAAGAATGCAAGGCTCATATTTCTGGGGGTCCTCTAATCATTTGAGTTCCCATCTGGTTTTATCTTTTGGTATTGATCTTGATTGGTACACTCCCCAGGCACTGGCAAGCTTAAATGTCAGCAGTGGGAGTAGTTCCAGTGTGATATCTAGTTTTTCAAGAAGTTCCTTATTCTAGTTGTCTGCTTTTCTGTTTTCCCAAAGTGGGAATACAAACAAGTTCTTCCATGCATTACTGATAGATACAATTCTGTTGGAAGAGGCCTCAGGAGGTGTGGATAGTTTGATTGCCTGCCTAAATCAGGGTCAGATATTGAGGTTGGATCAGGTTGCTTTGGTCTTGAAAACCTCCAAGCATGGAGACTGGATGCAAGGTATAGTACCACTGCTAATGAGTGGCTTAAACTCAGTCATGTGTCCCTTCAGTGTTTCTAGAAAAGCGAGATGAGCTGGTAAAGGTTTTCCTGTCAGTACTTGGCATTACTTAGCTTCTCATTTCCAAATCTTAATAAAGAATCTAAGACTGAGAACATTTTAAAGAAAACATTTTTTGACCTTAAACTTTGAGGTTTTGACTTGCTTTTTCAAGAAAATTATTTAATATTTCAAGATCTTTTTAATGAGAGATTCTGTTCAACTGGGTCAACTTTATTTTTGTGATGCTGCCTTGTGTATTTCTGTTATATAGAATGGAAGGTGTAGAGGGGTTGGAAATTAAGGCAACATTTCTTGTCAGCACAATAAGAAGTGACAAAAGGATTTTCCCAGTAGCCACTGACCTGTTCTGTTCCATGCTAAAACCCAGAGCGTGGATGTGAAGTTGAAGGAATGTGTGTTTTATTTTTCCAGTTATAATTTTTTGGGTCATAAGAAAACATACAAGTTGTTTCACATCCAGGTGTGCTTTGGCCTTAAAACCTTAACAAATATCTTACACTTTACAATTAAAATGAGTAGATTGTATTTTTAGCGCCCACCAGCCCTACCAAATCATAAGAAATTTTGGAAGCATTGCTTAGATCACTTATTTTTAAAAAGAATCAGCCATTCCTTTTAGTAGTCCAACAGTGGTGATTTTTCACAAACATTTCATGTAGAGATGGTACTAAAAACTCATGTATGTTACATTTTCAGCATTAGTTTCAATCCATGGTTTTGGGGTTTTTGCCAGAAGTTAAGAGAAGTTCTTTCTATGGTTTCATTTGTCTTTTAATTGTTAATAAATTGTCAAAGTTGTTTCTTCAGGAATATTACTGTACAATTAACATAAACTTCTATGAAACTAGTCATGTCTTACATTGTCAGGATGAGAGAATAGGATGACAGGTGCTCTTCTCTCTCCTTATAACCATTGTCTTTAGAAAAAGAGCAGGAAAAGATATTTGATTTTTGTTATTTTCCTTATTTTCTTCTTTATTTTTTATTTATTTCAAAACTACTGTGAAGGGATTTGTATTTTGCTTTAGAGACACAGTGGTTTAATAATAATTCTCATCTAATTCTGCGTAATTGCCATTTGTATTTCTGAAATCAGAAGGTATGAGTACCTCTGAATTACTGACCTATGTAATAATGCTTTCTTGCAGATTCTGTTTGACCAAATCCAAAGATCAATTAAAACACAGCTTCAGACTTTCGTGAAAGAGTAAGTTAATTTGCACTTGTAATGGGAAAATTATACATAAAATATGATTTTAAAAATCTGATTTGAGTGGGTAAGTGAAACATCCTTCTTGTAAATAGCCAGCCATAAATTGAGAAGTGTGTAATTAGGCTTTGTCAAAAATCACACCAAATCACTGATGCTTTAAATCCAGCTGCAGAAACGTTGCAATAGGATGAATTACTGATCTAATTGCATATTGTAATTGGCTAAGCTTGGGGAACAAAGCTTTTCCCTAGTAGGCATCAGATGTGTTCAGTTACATTTCAATTTTGTCCTTTCTTTGGAAAAGAAACACAATAAGCTTCTGTCATAATTTGTGGATTTCCATTTGACCCAAGCATGTACTGAAGAATATAGAATTTGAAAAAGACATCAGCTCTAGCAGTCACAAGCTTGCTCTGTCTGGTGTAGCTTTAAACTCTTTTTCATGCTTTGGAATTAATTTGTTATCCATATTTCCTTTTTCCATAGAGATATTAGGAAATTTAAAGATGCAAAGAAACAGTTTGAAAAAGTCAGTGAAGAAAAGGAGAATGCTCTGGTGAAAAATGCCCAAGTTCAAAGAAATAAGCAACACGAGGTAGAGGAAGCAACCAACATTTTGACTGCAACACGGAAGTGTTTTCGACACATAGCTCTGGATTATGTTCTTCAGGTAAGGACAGCAATAAAAGTTACTTTTCAAGACCATTTGTTACATATTTTTAGACGTGTTCTTTACAATGTTAGAAGTTCTTTTTGTAAGCTTCTTGGAAGATGTGGAGATTCAGGGAAAAAGGAAGAACTTTAATTTATAAATTACTTCAAGTAATTTCTTTTTCAAATAAAATCTGAAGAAAATTAACTGATGCATTATTACTGCTTTAATGGTCTGTTATTCAGTGTCCTTGCTGCAATGACAGTTTAATTTTCAAGTTGAACATTAATTTTGAAAAAAACCCAGTATTTGCCTGATATTTACCTAAGTGTTTCATGAGTTAGATATACTGTAGTTTCTTATATATTTGAAATAAAAACTGTAACCTAGCCTAGGAAATGCAAGTTACCTGAATAATTCTGATACAGGATCTTGGGTACTTCTGGAATTTTAACTGTATGCTTTGGGTTGTATTTAGCTTGTCTAGATGCCTCAGAGTTGGGCATTGTGCTGTAAGGGGAGTCAAGAACCTAACTATCCTTTACCTTTTTAATGAAGATCTCCCATAGGGTGTTGAGAGGTAGTCTTTGGCATGCTGCTTTGTAATAATTTTTTTTTTTTTTTGATACTTTAAATTCATCTGCTTCATACTTAGCCACAACTGCAGCAAAACAGGATTAATGCAACTTGGATGGTATGATAGGCTGGGGCTCCCAAATGGGTCTGAGCTTCTCCTGTGATCAAACACAGAACAGCTCTTTGCAATTAAGCTGGTTTTATTATATTAGACATTATCATCTATATTAGACATTATCATCTTCGTCGGTTATTTAAAGCTAAATTAACTTTTCTATAAATTGCATTGTGAGTTGTAAAATGAAGTGGAGCCTGTTAGCCTGGGCATGTTCACAGACGTGATGGTCAGTGGTCAACTCTGAGCTGTTTTTAAACACTAAGGTCATTTTGGTGCTTAAAAAGACGTATGAATTATGTCCCACAAGATTATTTGTACTATCACTAAATGGTGTGGGGGAAGCTGGCAGTCACTACTGCAGCAGGCCAGTTCCCTGTGTGTGCATTGAACTGCTGATTGTTTGCCTCCTGGAATTTGTATGTTCAAAGTATGAGCAGTTCCTGGGATAAAGCTATACTTAGAGTAACTGGGAACAGTTTCAGCATCTCTCAACATAGACAAAAATCAACTCAGCTTTAGGAATTCTTTCTACTTGCGTGATTCTTCTGGGAAAATGGCTTCACAACTGTGGTCTCCTTGTAGCTAGACTGGCTTTAAACTGTAATTCAAAACCTTTGCTTTCCTTCTATTTTTATTTTTCTTTGCCTCACAGGCTGAGGGTTTATTCTGTGCAAACAAATCTTAATTATTTTTGCTACAGAAAGTTTTCCAAAAGAATGACTACTTAAGTATAGCAGTAGAATCTGGTTTTGATTATAGCTTCAGCAAGTTTATTTATTTTGCTGAAATTCTAAACTGACATAGAGGTGTTAAATTACAAAATCATGCCTGTTTCTGCTAAGTGGGTCTTTTAAAGTAAAATCTGTAGTTCTGCATGGCAACCTTTAAAGTTTAGAGACCAAAGAAGGTAGGAGAACTAGGTGAATGTGAAAAATTGGTTATTTTTTCTATATAATGTGAAATTCCTCAAGTTCTAGGGCAATACCATTAATCAGTGACTTCAGCTAGTTTAAAAGTGCAGGTATACACAGAAATTACTTATTGAAACTATTATGTTCTTGCTTGCCTGGGTCTACTTTTGGGATACTTAAATACTGTAAGCCTGTAAGAAAAGAAGGGAGAAAGTAACCCTGCCCCCATCCTTTGATCTGCCTTGGCAGCAGCACTGAGTGCAACTTCTGCGAGGAGTTGGTGGGCTGGCTTAGCTCACAGTGCTTGAAACATCTTGAATTCAATCTCTTGAAAATGAGAACCAATTTTCCTTGCTTGAAAGGTGTATTTATATTACTTCTAGCTAGCACATGGTGTCTTGTATTTTCCCTACTGATGTAAGAAAATTGTGACTATCACTGTGAAGCTCAAGTTTTGGAAGTGTTCTCTGATTGCATCACTTTGATATTATGACAGAACTAGAATGCATCTTCTTCTTTTAAAAGTACTTCGGGAAGTCTGATATTGAACTGTCTTCTTGCAATGTTTTGAGCTTGAATGTGATTACTTGGGGGAAAATTGCAAATAAAAAAAGAAGTTTAGAATAAAATAAATTACTTGTTTGTTCTGTTTTTTCTAGATCAATGTTCTTCAGTCTAAAAGGAGAGCAGAAATCTTAAAATCGGTAAGATATACTTTATTCTCTGTATATCAAATATTTTAATCCATCTGAAATTAAAAATATGGCCACAAAGCAGTATGTTAAAAATTTAGTCCTTTAATTACTCAAAATGTTATCAGTATATTTGCCAGTTTGGTGACTGTCAGTTTGGCCTTTACTGTAGCTGGGCATACATGTTTAACTGTTTTTGACAGTCCTTCAGATTTGAACACTTACAGTTTTTCACTGCTTTGATCCTTTGGTATGTGTTCCATAGTTAAAATCAAACTTTTTTTGCCTAGAATTCTGCTGTTTAGCCTGGTTTATTACTTTGTTAAATGTAAGTGCTTCTTATAATCTATTCTAAGATGAATTCTGCTCTTTCTAAGAACAGAGCAAATTTTAATATGAATAATATGGTATCTGCTAAGTTATCTATGCCTGCATGCCAATTTTCTTCATATTGTACTTTTCCACTTCCCATTATCTCTGCTAAAAGTTTATTGAGATATAGAGTGACACATTAAACAGTGCTGTTCTTTCAAATGTCTGAAGTTGCTCTCCCATAATTTTCTTAATTCCTTAAAAAGCAGAAACTTTACTTGGGTTGGTTTATAACTGCCTGCTATTTTGCTCTGCACCTTCCCAACTTGTTTTCTGTGTTAAGGCCAGAGAGTCTTCTCACATGTGTTCATAAAGGTTATGGGTTTGGATCATTAGTAAAATATTCTATAGCCCCTCTCTACCTTACATGTACCAGTACATGTTAGGAGACAGCAAAAATTTCAGGTGACATGAATTAGCAGTAGTTTCCTGCCATTAAGTAGATTTCTTTTGTTTTGCTCATGGGGTTAATGCTATCAACTGATTTCTGAGATTTTTGGCTTGGTTCTTTTCTTCCTTTACTTTCCACATTTATTTTACAACATTGGAAGCTCTATGAGGTATTGATGTAAAACTGTCAGAACATGAGAGGAGAAATTAAACCTTAAGTTGTAGGTTATGTGAATTAAGTGACATATATATGTGATATAAATTTTAAGAGAATAAATATTTACTTTGTTCCTTCTAGATGTTATCATTTATGTATGCACATCTGGCTTTTTTCCATCAAGGCTATGATCTGTTTAGTGAACTTGAGCCCTACATGAAAGATCTTGGTGCACAGGTAACAAATGATTTTAAAAATGCATAACTATATTCTGAAATGGAAGAAATCTTGATATATGCCTCCATATCAGGTACTTCATGGATTTATTCAACAAAAAGGGAATTGTAGAATAAAGGCAAAACATAAAAAATATACCGTAATGAAAGGAACGAAAATAATTGCAAACTGCAAGTTGTCTGTTTACTAAAATTAATACTACTTTTAGGATTTACATACTTTAGCATAGCCACATACTGCTCTGTGAGGTACATTGTGATATTGAGGATACTGGATTATTTGGATTTCAAAATTTTTGTATATGACCCATGTTTATAAATATATCTAATAATAAAAAGTAGATTAGGCTGGTTTTCCTTCTACTCATATACTTTATTTACTGTGTAAATTATGCAGTCTGCATAATTAAATTTTGATGTGTGCAAATATAACTTTGATGTTAGCAACTTAGACCATAAAACGCAAGTAGGATTTTAAGTAGTGCAAAATTTACTTCCTATGTGGAGTCCTTCTTGCCCATTTTTGTTGTATAAGAACAGACAATTGACTTCTGGGTTTTCAGTGAGGGACTCATGAAAAGCTTAGATGGACCACTGCCAACTGCACACAGGAGACATTGAAAATGGCTATGCAAATAGATTGGAAGATACAGTATTGAAATGAAGATCTGTCTGTGGTGCAGGGAGAAGTCTCAGCCATGTCTTGACTTGTTTTTCAGTGCAAATTATTTGAGCACTTTCTATTTGCCTCTATCTGAGAACTTGCAACAAGTGCTCTGACACAAACCCCTCTATTGCTACTTCCCAAACAGATCCACAAAGCAGCCAAATTTTTGTCTGTCCAGGTAAAAAAAGCAAATAAATGACAGAAAAGTTTTACATTTGTCTTGAGTAGATGTGTCATTGAGTGTCTAAGAGATGAAATTGTTCTGAGCTATGCAGTGGAGCAGATTGGGAGCTGTAGAAAATACCACCAACAACCCAATGGCTGAATAGTTATTCTTCTTCTATACTAGGCCCCAGCTGGGTTACTGTGGGTCTTAATTACGTGTAGAAATATGTCAAGTCTTGGTGTAATAGGGGTACTTGAACAGTTCAGGTGGATGTTACTCTTCTGTAAATGTGCCCTTTATTCTTCAACAGCCTTCCAGTTTGGATTCTAAGTATTGAACTGTTTAGTGTCTGGTTGTATAACATGAATGTCCTGCAGTTCTGTGGAAGAAGGGATAAGGAAAGGAGACACAAACTGTGGAGTTGACAGTGGGTTAGGCTATCAGCCAGGCTTCAGTGTTTCCATTTCATTGATGTGATTCAAGTAAGAAAATACAAGGTTATTTTTGAATGTCTGGTCATGCTTTTTCTTGATCTGGTAAGGAGCACTGTGTAGCATTCATTTTGGTGCTGGTATCATAGCAACTGAAGGAGTTAAATTTAGAAAATCCGTAGCTAAGAATGTTTTAAATATATTGCAGTTGGAGCAAGGATGGACTGAAGACCCTAAAGTTGTACAACTTGCGGAATTGTTCTTTTGTAGCACACCTTGGTGTTTAAGTAATGGATATTTTTCATGACAGAAGCAGATTTGTAAATAGCTGTTGAAAGTTTTAACAGTTGGTGGCTTTGCAGCTTGTACTGGTTGAAGCTTCTGCCTTTAACAAAGTATGTTGTGACATAACGGGATTTGCTGGATTTTTGTGAAAATGCTGTTAGATTCCTCCTGTTGGTGAGTGAGTTTTCATTCCTAGGTGAATTTTGTGCATGATCTTAATTACAAGGGTTAACAGCATCTGAAGTAATAAAATTGATCTTGAATAGTATAGTTATAATTTTGAATTATTTTTGTCTGTATTTTCAAAATAACTGTTTTACTGTGATGGAATAGGATTAAGCAATTTTGCTTTCTGGATACTTCAGGTCAGGGTAGGATCCCTTGAGAACCAGGTCATTGTATGGGATTCTTTAATAGTGTGCAAGCATAATATGAGCTTTTGCATGGAAACTATGGGTTTTGTTTCTTTTCATATGAAATGTGGTATTAGCTTAAAAAGAAAACATTTGAATTTCATTGAGATGACTATTCAAAAAGCTGAATATTTTAGTCTGACTTAATTCTCCTCAGAATGCCAGTTATAGCATTATGTTTATAAAAATGCATTTAAATGCAGTAGTTCGAAAAACCAGATTTTCTGAAAATTACTTAGTGATGCTATAATGACTGGGATTTTGATAGTTTAGTTGTGATTTGCTACAGCTTTTGATAGTTGTATGCTGTTGGTCTCTAAGACAATTGATGTGCTGCTCACCTGAGTGAAATGGAAGAAACTCTGGTTTGAGCTTGCAAACAGGAATGGTGCAATGCTGCCTACATTGTAAAAAAAGTAACTGATGGATTGAGCTACTGTTAAGAATTTTGTTTGGCTGTGGTAAATGTACCCTCAAACATTTATATTCAAGATAAATTATAGGTAATTGCCCTAACCTGAGTGATTACCTTATGTTTCATCTAATGGGGTAAAGAAAGAATCTTGGGGGCCATGTGCAGATTCCTGAATCTGGAGTTTTTAGCAAGACAGTTGATACCTATAAAGTTTTGAACAGCCCTTGACCCAGTTCTTACCTTTATCATGAAAGAAAGGGTTCCCCAAGGTTTCTTGATGCAAAACAATCCTTGAGCCCAGTCTCTGTTTTAGAGGCTCTTGTGTAATTTTTAAGTCCTAGAGCTGCTTAGATGTGGCATGTGTACACTTCAGCCTTCAATATGTTCCTGTTCACAAATGCCTATAAAGGTGTGCAAGTGCTGGTATGGCCTTTTGAGCCAGAGGGGAAGACAGGGAGAGAAGAGTTAAAAAAGTAACCGAGTATGGAATTGGATCCAGATGTTTCAGCTTTCTGATGTCTCCATAATTGTTGGAGACTGTTTAGCACAAGGGTGTAAGGGCCTGTTATTGTCCCTTTTTTTCTCATTTATATCATGTCAAGCAGAGAAGTGAAAAGACTGGGGAAATGGCCGGAGTTGGCAGGGGCCTGTCACTTGTGGTTCTGAGAGCGTGTCCAGGGGATCCTCTATGTGTGTGGATCAGAGGATGTGTTAGTCATCTGTGCCCTGTGCCAAGAGAGTGACCCAGCTGGGAGCTGGTGTTGCTGCACGCTGTTCCTGCTGTTCTTGCTGTGGGCCTGGAGCAGAGCCAGCCCTGTCCCTCAGCCGAGAGCTGCGGGCCGAGCCCTGCGCGCCGAGCCCTGCGCTCAGCGCTGTGTCTGCACCGCTGGGTAATGGCAGCCCTGTGTTATGGGCTGCTGGGTAAGTACCAAACCAACTGCTCTTTCAGACAACATCTGCTTCTCTACTGCATTTCTTACTTAAACATGAAGGCCTGAATAAAACAAGCAACAAAACCCAAAGAATCAAAACTATATAACAAAACCAACCAAAAGAAAACCCCAATCAAACTTTCTCTTACAGGGTATCTTAAATGTTCTCTTCTTTTTGTGATTGTAAAAGGAAAGGTTTTGGGTAGTGGCTCTTTTATTATCACAGACTTTGTAAGGATACTAACTTAAATATTCTCTGTGACAATCTCTGTTACTTTCAAAACCATATTTTTATTTCCAAAATTAGTTTGATTGTCTCTGCCTAAGACTTCAAGCAATCTTGCTTGAGTACTGCTGATCAAAACTATCAACACAAAATCCTGGTTGAGACAGTTGTCCCACTTTGTGGAGGGAAAAATCTATAGCACTTGCTCTTTCTAGTTTTTGCTGCTCCTGCCAGTGCTGCTGCATAGGCCAGCAAGAGCAGCTAAAGCATGAGTCATCCTCTTGGGAGACTGAGCACCAATGCGGTAGAGTCGCATATGCTTGGCACCATGCTGTTCTTTGAAACAGTTCTTCTAATGCTTACAAGAAATGTACACCTTTGTAGAGGTTAATTCAGGGTGGCAGAGCAGTGCTTTAAACGAGGCTTCAGTGGTTATTCAAGGTAAACAATTTGTGACATAGAAGTAATTATACTATGCAAATAAAATAGAAGTCTTGCAATGTCTAGACATAATGTGTTCTTTTTTTTGTCAGTATTGTGAAATCTACTGAGCCAAATTTCTTATGATAATTTAAAGATACAATTTTCTGTTTCTCTTTACAGCTGGATCAGTTGGCTGTAGATGCTGCAAAGGAGAAGAGAGATATGGAGCAAAAGCACTCCACTATTCAACAAAAGGTACTTAACAGAATGTAAAAGGCAGGCTGCACACACATTTTTTTTTATCTGTAGCATCTCTCCCCAGCATCTCTGCATCAGAACTACAAGGGATGGTATTTTTAGTGCAGAGAGACATACTGACACGTCATTAAGTGTAGGGTTGGATTACAGATATTAATTTTGTGTTACCGAACAAAATATTATGCTTAGTTTTTATGGAAACATAAACAGAACAGTAGAATTTATTTGAATGCCAGGATTCTAGTATTTCAGTAGAACTCCTAATTCCTATTACCTCTTGAATTGAGTAAGTTGTACAGGTTTCTGTGTTTCCATGCTGTGTGTTTGTAGAAGAGGTGTATGTGCTGCACAGCCGTAGGTTTCACTTTGGACTGTGCCAAATCCAAGTGCAGCACTTGGAGCTTGTGTGGCAGATGCTGTTGCATATGAAGAGCAAAAGTAGACTTTTTTAATGAGCGTCTTATGTACTGGTTCAACTGTGCACAGATACAAAATTGAGAACATCTAATTGGTGTTCTGGGGAAGATTTGTGCAATAATTCTTTCTACTTATTGAGAAAACTATTGGTAATTCATGTTGGGGGGAATGACTTCTGATGCTTGGATGTTTCAGAAGCTCTGGATCAGTATTGGTTTTGCAGGTATATTGCCAGAAGTTAAAAATATTTCCACCAAACTCTGGTAGTGAGCTAATACTACAGGCACTTCTAAAAGGAATTAGATAGCAGTTTAAAGGTAATGCTACATTTCTTACTATCATTCAAATACGTTCTGTATCTGTTCAGGTGGCATAAATTAAAAAATCACAGCCAGTATAAATGAAATCTGATAACTAAATAAATTCAGGAATTTATTTTAATAATAATGTTTAATAAACATACTGAGATTATACGTTGGGTAGCCTTAGTAGGAGCCAATATTAATACTAATGGGAAAAGGTAACGTTTTTGGTTGCTGAAAACATTTTTATTGGTGCATCCTGTCATCTCTTTAGGAATTGGTGGGAAGCATTAGGATTGCTGTGAAATTGAGCAGATGTGATGATGAGGGCAGAGCTGACATGCTGTGCTTCGAGTCAGGAGATAAATACAGGCAAGGAAGGGGAAGAAAGGGAGGAAATGGGAAAGATGAAACTTGAGAATTAATGTTGAAGGTCAAATTTAAAGTTTATTGGGCTTAAAGGCTCAGTTTCAGGAATGGACACTAGTTGAGAGGTTCTCTGTTAAAGAGGACAGTGGTGCTTGGTGAAGGATTTAAGTTATGAGCAATTATCTTTTAATTTGCCATAGAAATAATAGCTGGTTCCCATGAATTATGGCCACTGCTGTTGCCAATGGTGTTTACAAGTCTTTGTTTTTTCTTCAAATGCTGCTTAAGGCTGCTTTACAGGTAAACTACTTTTACTAGTTTCAATTATTACTGAAACTTTTAAGCTTCATGAAACTTGATAAGCCGTATCTGTGTGTAATATAAATGTTCTTGATTTCTAGTAGGAGTGACAAGCACAGTGATGTTACTTTTATTGTTACTGACTCAGACAATTTAATGCTGTTTCTAAAATATAATCAGGGCAGTCAGAATGTACTGTATGTTGTCCTCTTAAGTTATGTGTTTTGAGTTGTAAATATTGTCTCTTGTCCTTACCAGTGAAGTCACTGTCGCATTTTTGTGCTGATAAGGCCTAGACTGTGCTTTATTGGAGATTCCTCTTATAGCTTGTCCAATCATTTTCTCAGTTTCTTATTCAAATCACATTGTCTGTTTTTGTCTCCTCCTACTTGCTCTTCCCAACCTTCACAACAAGTTAGCTTCTAGCTCATCAGGATTTCAGAACTGCCCTAAACTTTGGATCTTTTTTTTTTTTATCACTACTCGTCATCTGGTCACCCTGTGCTGGATGGCAACTTTATTCCCCACTCTCTTCTCATGTCTTGTCATGCTGCTTTCCACTATGTTCCCAAATCTTCCAATGCCAAATCCTTCCATGTTTTATAACAACTGAAACTTCTGAAGCTTATTGTGTTGAATATTCCATGAGGTATATATGCATTTAATATACTGAAGTTCTAATCTAATGCTTCAGAATGATGCCTTTCCTTCATTGTGTGGATAAAGAACAGTTCCTTTTCTGAAATGTATAGGTAAGTGCATACGTGCACACACCTACCCACCCACTACCTGTGTTTGCATATATGTGCATATGCATGCAGAATAATTGCACTAATTAAATAACCCATCTCACTTTTCTGTATAATCATTGTCCTACTTAATTAGGCTGTTGATGGAGAAGCTATTAAAAAGTGTCATGGAAGGGCTTGGTCACCAATACAGTGTGATTTCTCTTTTAGCAGAGCTGATAATATGATTTACTTTTTTTAATTACTTGTAAGTTTTATGGTCTATTTACTCAGAAGATGTCCAGGACACATTTTTTTTTAAAATTTTATTTTTTTCAGTGTAAGAAATTATTTTTTCTGTATTAAACTGAAGCAACACATGCTATGAATTAATCTAGAAATTTCATAAGCATTCTGGGAAATTTTTGCAACATATTTTTATAAGGAAAGATTCATATTAAAAGAATGGTGTCGCAGTGTCAATACATTAGACATGACTCTTGTTTTCTGAGCAGTTTGCAGCCCATTGCTGCAGCAACACGTTTAATTAAGAAATATTTTAAAAATCAGTTGCACTTGTCAAGAGCTTCGTGGCTTTTTGGTATTGTGTCAGAGCTAATCTTTTGTTCTAAAATGAGGGAGATGGTACAGGAAAAGTATTTGCATTGAACTTCAAATAGTTGTTGTTGTATTCAAATCCCTTTTTCATTAAAGTAAAAATCTGCTTCCGAAGAACTGCTCAGGAAACAGCTGGAGTGAGAATGATTTGAAAATTTTTAGCATCTTGAGTAAACAAGGTAATAGGAAACCAGATGCTACCACAATCACAAAGCAGGCATAAACCTGAGCTGCTGTTGAGAAGATGTGTAGAATAATCCTGTCTCCAAAACCAAAGATGTGCTTGTATTTCAATTGACTTGTTTGCTCAATGACACTCCTGCATTCTCTCACTCTCTTGGACTGTAAAACCTTGGTACTTGTGCTGTCTGTTGTTTTAAACCCTTCCTTGAGGGACTTTTCAGCTTAAGCATGACAAACATCTCTTGCCAATGGAGAGGGAATGGAAACAACTTTCTAAATGGGGGGTTTGCACAATTAGTATCTCCTGTTCAGTATATGCTGGCCTAATTTTTCAGGTTAGTGTTTTCTTTAGTACTTATGCTCTCCCATTTACTGCCTTTGAAAGAAATTTTTAAAATGCTCCTTCTCTAAAGTAAAAAAATCATTTGGGTTACACATTCAATGTTAAAATATAGTTCCTAAGATTTACTAGTAAAATGGTTTCAATAGCTTTCATAGCCTGATAGCAATTTTGAAAGTAAAACAAAAGCTCTGCTACTGAAAAGTATGGGGAGTTTTGTTTTGTGAACAAGAAAATCATGCACAGAGAAAAGAAAACATGCTCTGAAATAAATCAAGTATGTGTGATGAATTGATACGTTCATACAAAAAAGCATTCACTGAAACACTGTCAAGAATATTAAGTCTTCTGTGACACACCAGATTAGTATTATTTCTGGAGATGAAAGTTGTTTTTCCATTGCCAGCTGGTTTGCTGTACCACATGGACATTTAAAGAAAATGGGGGAAAAAGGCATGAAAGCGTGCTGTTCACTTATATAACCTATTTCTATATGTTTCTCTTCCAGTAGCAGCCAACCATGAAAAATCAGTGTCAGAATAGAAGCCTTACATGTTTATTCTTTCAAAACTGAATGAAATGTGTGATGTAGCACTTCAGTGAAAATTACATAGTTCTGGCTACATTTTCTTAGTTCTGGTTAGGTGAAATCTACTTTAATCCTAACTGACATCTGATTAGTTTAATTACTTTTTAAATGAAGTCTTTACCAGTTATGTGCCTGCTGGCAGAATACACAATTCTGAATCACATACAGTGACTAGTTTATTAACATGTGATTCTCTTATGAAGGACACTGGAAAGATAGGGGTGGATTTTTCTCCACCCCAGATTATTTTTTGTGATTCACTAAACTTTTCCATGCACCAAGATAAAAATAAACAATAATGTGACTGCTTTGCTCCTATTTTTTTAATTATAGAATAGCAGAGACTGAGATCCGAACACAGCTAATTTAGTTTCATTTTCTCCTTTTATCCATGGAATTTAAATGGAGCATTTTTTTTTTTTTCTGATTGTTTGGTCATGTTTTCCCTGACGACTTTATCAATGAAGTTTTTGTGGATAAAGCACATGGAAGCCTTACTCCCTCCCTGCTCCAGCTCACAGTCTGCCATATACAGTTAAGGAGATATTTGACATTTGTCTCTACACTCTGGTGTCTTTTTCTGCTCTGTAAAAGTGGAATTCAATCAGAGAAGTAATTAAAAATTACACTAAATGCATTTCATGAGAAGGCACAGTATTTTAGATAACTCTGACTGAGAGTGTGGCATGAAGGTTTCCTGTCATAATTGTATGCACCTTCAAAGCACAGATCTGGACTCATTGGAAAAGACAGCTGCATTTGCTACAGCAGTTCTCCAAATCCAGAGGAAAATCTGATTACATAGTGTGGACAGAAAAGACTGAGGAAATGTATATTGTGTTTAACTAGACAAGGAGTTGCAGGCATCAGTGAGGCAGGAAGATGCAAATCTTTAGCAGATTTCATTATGTTTGGGAGCTGGTAAGTTAGAGTAATTTATCCGTTTTGGGGGAATGTAGGGAATGTGACATCAGCATGTCTAAGTTTGTGCATAGTGGTTTTCTCTTTTTATTTTGAGAGCTTACATGAAGCCTTTTATGTTCAGCATGTTCTGATCTAGAAAACAGGCAGAAAGTCAAAGTTAGTAAATGCTAAACAATAAATACAAAAAATTATTTGCTTTTGGTGAAGCTTTCATTTGTAACTAGTATGTTTATTCAGATTGGTGTATGGTAGTAATATGATAGTTTCATTTTCTTTCAGAACTCTTGCACTGAACATCTGTTAATCAATAATAAAAATCTAGATTTAACATTTCAACATTAGTTAATCTATCCAGGTTAGCAGTAGCTGAAAACAGTGAGTAATTTTAAGGAATTTGTGCTGTTCTGACTGGTGAGCTTAAAGGGCCCATTTTAATATTTGTAACCATTTCACTATCATGTGTAATTAACCTTGGATTGGACCAAACCATCTGCATGTATAAAAGTAAACATCATGTGTAGCACGAAAGTTGTGTGCATCCTGGGCTATTACCTGGAGCTAATGACCATGTTGGTGTTGAAGCTATTTTTTTATTTATATATATATATTTCTTGCCTGTTTTTGTTTATGTATAGAAAAGTTCCTAAGGAGCAAAGTACAAAACAGAGACTTTCAGATGTACTTTTCATGCAAAGCTGATGTTTCCAATTTACAAAAAGTAACTACTGAAGGTTCAGGAAGGTCATATTACAAAATGTTCTGGTTTTTAAGTATTTAACTTGTTTGGTTTTTTTCTTCTGAAATTTAATTTTCAGTAATGTCTCTTACACCCTTGTTAAGGGGAAGAAGCCATATGTTGCTAGTCTACTTTAAGGATATATATTTTAATAACAGCATGTATATTATTTTCATCTCTGGACAAAGTTGTGATAAATGATGTCATTCCATGTGTGCTTTTTCATGCACCCCTTGTAGATGTTAGCCTCCCACTCACTGAATATCCGAACTCTACCTCCCTGGGAAGAGCCCATGCTGTTCTCAATGAGATGTGAAAGCAAATGATCACCACATATGCTATTACTTAGTCTAACCTACCTTTGCTGAAGATGTGAAGCAGTCAGCCTTTCTAAAGCTTGGAAAGTTGCTGTTAATTGTTATTAGCTGGTTTAGGTGTTAAGTTGATGGAAATGCATATTCCCTTGTCCTACTTGTAATTTTATAATCTTATCCAAGATCATAAAGAAAAAATTACTGCTAAGGTCTTGCCATCAGTGCCAGCACTTTGATTGCTTTACTCTAGAGTTAACTGATGGCATCATCTTTATTTGATTACTTGTCTTCCAAGTTCCTATGTAGCTCAGCTGTCAACATGACAGAGCTGAAGCAAATGCTAAAGCACAACTGGCGTTACACAGGTGTCTGCAACAGTCTGCAACTGTTTTTCAGTTTTGACTCCTAATTTTCATGGCTTCTTTTCCTCTGCTTTTCTATCCCCTTTGCTGGGAAAATATGAGAGACCATTTGAGCAGACAGTTGAAACATCAGATGCTCTGTCAGCAATGTTTGCCCTCTATTTGTTTGTAGAGGTCATCAATACCTGAACAAGAAATTCCCCTTGTTGCAGGTAAAGTAAAAATCTTCAGCATTCTCATTTCCTAAAATTGATTTTTTTAAGAAATGCCATTAGGGGCTGAGAGTCATGGTTTGACTAATAAATGTTGCAAGGAAAACTTTATTCTTCGATATTTACTCTTTGACAATAGTACTGCTCGTATTTGAAGTTTCATTTGAACTGCAGTGTGTTTTTCTTGTTCCTTTGTACTAGGATTATTCCAGTGATGATACTAAACTAGAATACAATGTAGATGCAGCCAATGGCATCGTTATGGAAGGTTATTTATTCAAGCGAGCCAGCAATGCCTTCAAGACTTGGAACAGGTAATTACTCAGAACCTCTATTTGCTGCTTACAAAAATACTGCTTTTTAACCTGAATTCTCATCTGATTCATAATCTCTGTAACTCGCTGACTCCATAGTTTTGATAGAACACTGGGGTGACTCTGTTTGTTAACTTTGAGATGACACTTCAAAGCCATTTTTCCTTGTTTTCTGTCCTAGTTGTTTGCAAACCCTTCTCTTGTGAAAGCATATGCTAGGAAAGTGTTAGAAGACAGAGTAAAATAGAAGTTGTATAGCCACTGGAAGCAGACTAACACAGTCAAGGACTCAAGTTATTTTTCCTGAAAGATAAGCAATGTAATTGTTATCCTTTAAAATTCCTGTCCTATGCAGTGACTTTTGCTTAGTAGTTTTGACGGCCCTTTTGGGAATTCAAAATATCTTGTTAGTCATATATCTTAAACAACGTGTATTTTACTACTCTTTAAATATTTTTCTTCCTGAACAGGATTTCTTTTGCATTTCCAATGGTGTGTACTTTTTTCCAAGGAAATATATATATGCTGGAGCAGTTACAGCAGAGTTGGATACAGTTCTTGAATTTTAAATTTAATTTTTTGTGATACAGAGCTTTCTATTGTCCATGTTCTGCTATATTTTCATCCGTGCTTCTGTTGAACTATTTGCTGTGTTTGAAAGGACAGAATGTGCATTTCAGTGGGTGGTCCCTTCCAATCCTAATTTTTTTATACTTCCTTGAGCTTCTCAGCACACCACAATCTTTTAAGAAATTTGGATCACTTCAATTAAATCCGTAAAGTGATGCTATGGCCACTGATGTCAGTAAGACTGTATCTATATTAGCAAGTCATGGGCAACTAGTGCAAAGGTCTGGTCCTTTGGCCTGATTATTCATCTGTAATTGTAATGTACTTTCTGGGTTAGTTTCATGCAAGCAGAATTCAGAGTTCTCCAAGGTCTCCAAGATCTGTGAAGCATCAAAGGATGGTGAAGGGAGAAAACCAGGAGATGTGCATCAAAAGCACCTTCCTGGTGTGAAGTAAAATGTTAGTATAAGCATACTGAGAAAAATCTGCAGTAATAGGGCAGGAGATTGTCCTTGATTGGATTCCCAAGGGGCTGAAAGGGTCCTTTTTGCCATTGCCAGATTGACTGATGGTGAAACTCTGACTCTGTCTCTGGGTTCCTCTTTTGAAATGCAGAAAGGCCCTGCTGTGCAGGGAGGTGACAGGAGAGAGCAGGACAGGAGTGTCTGCTTCCACATGGCTTTGTTCCTAGGAATACTTACCTTAAAGTGATTAGAGAGTAGGAGTCAATTAAAACTAACCTCTGTATGTTGGTAGTTTAAGTGGACACAAAGTAAATAAGGAGAAATTGTAATTAAATCAAGATACACAATGACATTCCTTCAGATTAAGTTTCAGATTTGAACAAATATAATGAAAAAATATCCAAGCAATAATTTAAGAGGGCAAAGATAAGCAGCTTGTTAATGAGTCAGAGCTGCCTACTTTTATTACATAATTGATATTTACTTAGTTTTTTCTTCTGTTTATCACAGGGGCATTTAATAAAGCAAAACCTTTAACCTTTTTAGTATTAGATTCTTGATAATTTATCTCTCCGCAATAAATGTTGGAGTTGGATGCTTTTAGGCAAAAAATAGAATTGGATATGCTACCTATAAACATTTCTGAAATTTAAACAATTATTTAAATTTTGTATTCCACATGTTCACAAACCATTACTAATTGCTATTAAACTACTTTTATCATACATAAAATATACATTTAAGATCTTGATGAAGTTTTCATTTCTGAATCTAGCCCCCCACTTTTGCTATTTTTTACTAAAAATAAAGAAGTATTTTTGTTATTTTTAGTTCTGAACACATATGTAATTGCTTGCTATGCTGTAGGCACAGAAGGGGTCACTGTCAATTTCCACTGCCTGTTTCAGGTGATGGAAGGTTTTACTTGTGTAGTGTTACAGTTTCAACTGTGGGGAGATCCTCCATTCAAGTTTATCACATACTAGAGATTAGTGGGTTTTTCCAGTCACTAGTTAAAGTGCAAGAAAAGATTTTGTCATTGTGTTAAACTGTTCTGTGTGTAAAATTTAATTAAATATCAAAGGAGGAAACATTTAGAGAATTATGTGTTTTATTTTGGGGAATTCTAAGCTGAAGTCAAGACAGAAAAGATACTTTTACTGCTCTTACACATTAGCAGTTTGCTGCTTTATTATAGCCCTGTCTTTGGGGAAGGTGGGTGGAAAATCAACCAGCTGAAACAAAACTAGACGAATTTGCCTAGAAATACTGGAATTTCCTGCTGTTCTCCACCAAGGGTGACAGCACTGGCCTTCCTTGCTGACTGCTAAATACACTGTCAGTAGTAATATGTATTTAAAACTGGGACCTCTCTTTTGCCTCCATTGGTGTCAGTTGGACTTATATTGGTTCTAGACATTTTTAAGAGCTCCTTCAAGAGTTAATTAAAGGCACCAAAAACATTTCAATGGCCACTATTAGCAGATACTTGCCAGCATTAAAAACATAAGAGAAGAGGCAGGAGCATGATAGGTTTTGTCTGGGTTTGACACAGCAGTTTGATTCTAGCTGACAAATGAAAGAAATGTGATGTTGCTGTGTGCACATCTTGGTTGGTGAATCCATGGACCCCACAGTGGTATTATCCTGGTTGCTGCGGGAGAAAAAGAAAAAAAGAAGACTGTATAATGCAGCCTTTTGAAGGGGGAAAATCTGTTGTGGTGAATGAAAATTTGTTTCCAGTACAAATTAATGTTTTGCTAGCATAATGAAGTTTCTTCCTGGGGCACCTGGCAGCTCATGTTTCATTGTCTCAAGACTAATTCTTTGGGCTTTTGCATCAAGTTTCCTGTTCTTGGGACAGTTCTGCTTGACACTGGCTTTAGAAACAAATACGTGTTTGAGCAGGCTGCAAAGTAAACCCTGAGCTATTTGCAAGTCAGTGTTGCTGTGTTTTGAAAGAGATGGAGCTTTTGTAATCTCTTTTTGTTGTGTCTAAAAGGACAGCGTATAATGTACACAAGTATTTCAGATAATACAGTTTAGTGGAATCAAAATTATGTCCTTGTACTGCAAAGTCTTAGAGTACTGGGTATGGACACCTGTGTTTAGAATGTATTTCTATATGTTGGTAAATTATATATCTTGTTGTACACCAGTTTTCTTAAGGCATCAGGACCTAGAGTCAGGTGCATTTATTATGGAGCAGTAGCTAGAAAGCTGTTTTGGTTCTCAGAAATTCAGATGAAAAATAAGTATGTATCATGAAGAAAGAATAAATGTGTGTAGAGAGAAAAGCACTTGTCAAACCATTAAGTATGTTCCAAATAGGTTTTAGATTGGATGGAATAGATGGTTTCCTTTTTAATTCTGCTGTATTTTCAGATCATGCTAATTCTTTTCTTATTTTGCTCATTTTGCATTTTTCATCCCTTCTCCTCCTTTCCCTTATGTTTTAATCCTACCCCATTTTTTCACATGACAGGAAAAAGCCAGATCACATCAGGTACCAACCAGCTTCTTTTATACCTTCCCAATGTTTCCTTGGCACGCAAAAAGCTCTTCATTAACCCTGCATTTAATTTTGATTACTTGCAATGGATGTATAAGTGACTCAGTCTAAGAAAATAACAGAAGGATTCTGCCTGGGATGCCAGTATACCTGCTGCTCAACTCCATTAAAAGGTTTAGAAAGATTGAGCTAGTTTTTAGCTAAAAAAGGAATTAAAGCCATGTTTCTGCACTCAAACTGAGCATACAAGATCAATGTCTTGCCTTTTTCCAATTGAAGTTGATGAGATTTTTCTTTTTTCTTATCAACTGCATTGGCAATAGACATGTACTTTTAAATGTTGTGCATTCTTAATTACTCTGTTTTGATTGTGTGCTGCTAGCAACTAGAGGAGAAAACTGTTTCTGAGAATCACAAATTACAATTCATTGTTTTATGTAAAACTCAAATTTTATACTTCAATATTCTCAATATTACTCTGTTTTCAGAAACTGGAAAATTTTTCTATAGATTTTGCATTGTTTCCTATTTAATAAATACAGTTTTGAATTGTGTAGGTATAAATGATGGAAAGCATTCCATATCTAAATAGGAACAACTATATTCAACCACTACAAAGTGAGACAGTGTAAACTACTTTAATATTCCCAAGACAGAGACTGTACCTCAGGTGTTCCTGGCTGATGCTGGTGTAGACCCCTCAGCAGTCTGTTTGCTGCAGTAGAGTTTGTTGATAGTATTTGGTTAGTGAGGAGTAACTCCAAGTTTTTGGCCTGAATAAAACTGCTGTGGTGCTGACACCTTGGAGGGTAGCCTTACAGTTTCATCTTGTTAAGCAAAAAATAAAATGTATTCACTCTGACATCTACTTCTAAAGTGTGATCTGCAAGTTATCCTACATTGTAAATTGTTGATCTCATTCAGTAAAAGTTTATTTTAGAAAATCACCAAAGCCTGCACCCTTTTTGGCTAGACTGAAAATTTTTCTTTGACAGATTTCATTTCTCTAGTAGGAAAAAAGGGGACTGAAATACTTTCAAAACTTCTAGACTAGAAGCTTTTAAAGATGGCACAAATTTGTGTTACAATTTGTGTGTTCACTTATATCCAACTGATGAGATTAGAGCTTGTTTACTAGAGTAACTCATTAAATATTTAGCTGTAGAACAAATGAGGCATTGCATTAATGAAGTTAATTGCACTTGCTAAGGTTCTTATTAGGGATTTGCTCCATTGCTTGTTGTCTTGGGGCAAGGCTGCTTTTTTTCCCCCTTTACCACTCCCTTTATCACTTAGGCACCACTTTTCATGTTGTTCTCTTTTGTGTTACGTTCAAAAAAAGCACATGAAAAAAGATGTGAGTTTATTTCCTTTTCAATTCTGCTTTTTTATTAAGTTTCCTAGATGAATATTAGCAATAACCTACCTTACATGTGGGGCATACTTACTGCATCTGTAAATAGATAGTAAAGATGATACCTTTACAATAGCAGTGACTAAAAGTACTGCTGTTAACAGATTGAAAAAGTCAAGGATGACAGGAGATCCTGTTGTTGCTTTTTAAATTAAATATATCTGCACAACATTTGAAAAGATTGTTAAAAGGTAGAATCTCATCTGTCTATGAAACACTAACCTTTCTAACATATACTGGATTTTCTGTTTTGGATCTAACATTTTTTGTATATATTACTTTTTCTTAACCATCTTTGTGCACTTCTTTCCTTGAATGGCTTGTGGTGGATGAATAAATACATGAGGCCCTCTTGTTACTAATTGTGGTAAACTGTAGCTTGAAACTCAACAGCCTGTGGAGAATAACAAGATCTGTTGCAACACAGTATTTTGTGTACTGTTACCATTCAAACTAACTGGCAGTAAAGAAGTGAGTTATGGTAAAGGTGGGGTATTGGAGATAATTAAGGAATTGCTGTGGTAAATAGAGGTTTGCATTATAAGCCTGAACAAAACAAGGTGTAATTTCACTGAATTGTTTTTTACATCCCCTTCATTTTTGTCAGTGAAAATGGAACTGTGATAATTGGTTAGCCTTTTTTTTTTGTGCATCCCAGAAGAGGTAGAAAGGCCTGGGTATGTCTACTGCTTTTTTTTTTTCATTCAGTGGTCTGATAAAACATCATTGTTAGAGATCTGAGGTAATTTTTTCCAAAATATGAGTTATTTTTCCATTCTCCGAGATGTATCCTGTATGAGCAGTGACTTTGACAAGGAAGGATAAAGTTCAGAGGAGTTTTTAAGCTTTGTATTATCTTTTGGATTTTACAGGATGCCTTCATAAAATATTTTTTTTTTTCTTCAAAGCTGAAGCTTAAGTTAGGATCCTACTTAAAAGGTTTTCATTGGGTTTTTTTTAGTTTTTATATGCAGTGTTTTTTATTTCAGGATCAAAAATTTTAAGACATGCCCAATGTAGATAGATATTAAACTCATATTGGATAACAACACAGAAGTATTTTTAGTGCCTTATTAAGTTAGGTCTGCTCCCAAAAATATTTCAGGAGTAGTTTACATGGGTTTAAGTATTTTTATTATTCAAACTATCTGAATTTGTGTTACCAAGCAACTACTTAAAATTGTAACTTGCTGCTAAAATACTGAAGGAAATGTTCCTTGAAATGAAAATGTTTTGTGTGATAGCTTAACTAATGTTGTCATAACATAAATGTGTTTGTTTAGGACTCAGATTATTTGAACCTTTCTTTTCTGTTTTGTCTCTGCTTCCCCTTTTTTTGTTTTTTTTATGAACTATTTGCCAAAACTGACTGCAGCATTACTTTCATGAATTATTTTATTCGGTCTCTTTGTAGACTGTATGTTAGCACATGTCGGTCAAATAAGCACTGTAAAATCAGTTATGTATTCTCTGGATGTCTCTTCATTTGAATAGGCGCTGGTTCTCAATACAAAATAACCAACTTGTGTACCAGAAGAAATTTAAGGTAGGAATTGAAAACTGGCTCGGGATAGTTTGGAGTTTGGGTGATGATTTTCCTGACTGATGGGGAAACTGCTGATGTGGCATCCCATGTGATCTCCAACAACCTAATACTTTTTTCTAAATTAGTTTCTCCCTTTGTAAAATGAGACTACTAGCTACACTGACAAATTCTGAGATTCCTGTGCACTGATTGTAAGCACATACTTTATTTGCTGTGGATTTTGTAACCTAGTTAGAGCTTTAAAAGTTGTTGGTCCCAAAAGGCTTGTGCTCACTTGTTGGCAGTCGGATATTCCATGCTGTTCTCTGAGCAGTTGTGTTTAACTCTTTCAGGACTTGCTCCCTCCAGTTACTTACTGGTTCACACACCCAATTCAGCAACTGGGGGAAAAAACCATGAAAGCTTCTGTTACGAAGCAGTCAGGGTTTCTATCCACATCTATTTAGTATCGAAAATGCACAGTGGTTTAGCAGTCAGTGTCTGCTTTGTTGTTTGTGGGAATTGCAGCAGTTTTATGTTAAAGCAGCAAGTCCCGCTCTGCCTCGAGCCATAGAAGCCTTTTCAGTCAGGTTTTGGGCCCCTGCTCCTTTGTTTGTTGTTCTACAATCTGCTTTTGCACCAAGGAGCTGTAGCTGTTCTTCAGGTCGGAAAGAAGTAGAGACTATATGGAGACAGTGGGGTAAAAGGAAGAAAGAGTTTAAGGCAATTAATTCCTCTTAACTGCAAACAGACTGGGATCAGAGAGTGTTCCTTGTTATCTGATGCTGTCAAATCAAGGGGCTTGATGTCTGTGGTTGGAAAGGCAACACAGTTGAGTTTGTGTGAGCATGCTTGGCTGGGCATTTTGTGTTTGTAAATTCTCGTTGCTCTTTTTTTTAACTGCACCTTTAAAATGCTGATAGCTCAGAATGGAATTCTTACGAATTGAATCAAATTTTCAAAACCACTGTATTCAGCATCTGTTTTTTTTTTTTTATTTGGCACTTAAATACTGCTGATTTAGGTATAACTTTTCTGATTTGTGAGTTAATTGCATTTCTTAGAGTATATTTGTAGTTTGAGTACTGTTGTTTAAATTTAAGGTGTTGATTATTCAGTAGATTGAACTGTAAGTAAAAAGAAATTCTCCAAATTTTATTTTTGGAAGAAAAAATTTAGTATAACCAGGCAAATAGAATTCATTCATTAATAATTCGGGATTTAATTATTATCTTATTATCAACTATATTATTTTTTCTCTGTGACTTTTGTTAACTTTTGTCTCTTAGGATAATCCTACAGTAGTTGTTGAAGACTTGCGGCTCTGCACAGTTAAACACTGTGAAGACATAGAAAGACGTTTCTGTTTTGAGGTGGTTTCTCCAACAAAGTAAGGAGAAGCGATGGAGCATGTTTATTTAAAAAAAAAAAATCATTACATGTAGTTGTTTTAAAATGTAAGATTCACATTTCTCTTGGGATAGATCAGAACAGGAAAAGTATCTGAAAAATTCTGTACTCTGAAATTTTGGCTGAGACTAAGTGATGCTGTGAGAAGTGTCCCTGGTATTTAGTTTACTTTTGGCATTAAAATAAACATGCATTCTTGTGCTTTTTGCATAAATAACTTGTGGTGCAGAGCTCTGCTGTGGCTTAGTAGTAGCTGATACTATCAGCTGCTTAGTAATGTAGAAAATTGGTCTCAGTTTATCCACATTTCTGATTGGTGCAATGAGAGAGAAGCACATAAATAAGCTGTTGTCTCAGTGATGTAAAATTATACTTCAGAATGCACTAAATGAAACTACCAAATAAAATTATTTATCAGCTCTAGTAGTGCATTGGCTGTACTTAGGGAATTTTGGCATCCTGCCACAGCAAGGGCAGGTCATGGATTCCTCATTAGTGATTTTGAGATATAACCATATTTAAGTTTTTGATACGAGGTCATCTACACTCTCCATTCCTCCTTACATTTCTCTTCTGAGTAGATTACTGTCCATCCTGATGTTTGCATTCCCAGTTGTGGGTCACTATAACATGCATCTTGCTTGGGTCAGCTTTTTCAACCCATAAGTGTTGGAACAGTTTTATACTTCATGACCTGGTTCTTTTACTGTTGATGAGAAAAGTAGTTCATTCTTTGTCAGAGAACTTTAAAGTTACTCTCTCTTGATCTCAGTGAATGAAATTGTGTTTTCAAGGACTGATACCTGTGTCTTGTGTCATGGGGATAAAATGCATTTGAGGATATAAAAAAGAAAATTCTGGAATAAGGAAAGGAATAGGAAGCTAAGCCATTGTCAGTGTTTTTGGAAAAGTAATTTCTGTATCTATTAGCATTACTTGCAAATAATTTTGAAATAAGGAGTTTGCAGCTCACAAAGGCTCAGCTGCTTTGTTATCTTAAAATAAATGTTTGTATTAAATGATGCCTACTAAACAATATACTTGTTATACAAGTATAACCATAAAAGCAAATGCCTAAGCAACATGTTGTTGGATGTCAGCTGCTTGGCCACTGTCTCTGAGTACTTTAATTTGTCACAGGAGCTGCATGCTTCAGGCTGACTCGGAAAAGCTGCGGCAGGCGTGGATTAAGGCTGTTCAGACCAGTATTGCCACAGCATATAGAGAGAAAGGGGATGAATCTGAGGTGAGTCTAACAGTCCACCAAACAACAACCTCCCCTTTAGATCCTGAAAATTTTAAATATATAAAACCTTTTTTAATAGAGAGAGAAGAAGAAATAGAGAGGGAAGAAAAAAAAACAATCCATTGTTTGTCTTCTAGTGGAAAAGCAATGAAATTTTGAAGGTTGTAAATTATATCTGATCTGTCTTTCACATCATCATGTTAATGTTACCATGTCCTATATGTTTTTTTGAGGTTTTTCTGTAGTGTGATTAAAAATCATAGGATATTCTTATATTCAGTTTTATATATCTTCAAAAACCTAAACATTCTTTTTTAGTTCTGTGGCTTTCCTTGGCCGAAGAGCCTTTTCTGGATTTTAGTGCACAGTTATTATCTGTGAGTCTTCAATTTCTTTAGTTTTGCATGTGTCTCTTAATTGGTTTGTTTGTGTCTTTTCTCTTTTAGAAACAGGAAAAGAAATCATCCCCTTCTACTGGGAGCCTAGAATCTGGGAGTGAGACCAAAGAGAAGCTGTTGAAAGGAGAGAGTGCTCTGCAGCGAGTCCAGTGTATTCCTGGTAATGCTGCCTGCTGTGACTGTGGTTTGGCAGATCCTCGCTGGGCCAGTATCAACCTGGGAATCACACTGTGCATCGAGTGCTCTGGGATACACAGGTTGGCAAACTCCTCACAACTGCTTTTGATTTGTGCTTTGGCTTAATTAGGAAAGGTGGTGTTCGCCTCTTCAAAGGTATATTGAAAGAAAATTAGAGGCCCTTGTTTGTAGATAGAATTAAGGTAACTGCTTTATTTGCATAAATTAATGGTAAGTCTGTCTGAGGTAAGATATAACATGTAGTTACAGGTTAATGTTTTTTTCCATGTTGTTTAGGAGCTTGGGAGTCCATTTTTCAAAAGTAAGATCTTTAACGCTGGATTCATGGGAACCTGAACTCCTAAAGGTACAGTATTTTTGAAACAGGTTTTTATTTGGTACTTAGATTGTTGTTCAAAAGCCTCTGAATCAGCAATTTCAATTCAGGAAGCACATTTGTACCCAGTGCATGTTTTGCAGTTTGAGCAGAAAATGTTTATAGTTGTGTGTTGGTTTATTTTAATTCACACATTTTTATACTCCATAGTAATTTGTGCTGCAAACTTGCAATGCAGAACAACTTACAACACCTTCAGGTTCCCAAGTGCACTCTGAGTAGCAAGTTTCGTCTGATAGTTTCAACATACAAAAAGGCAAATCTGTTTACAAACCACTAATGTCTTTCAGTGGGCTGAAAATCTTGGAAGTGATATATCAGCCTCTAAAGCATGATCATACTCAAAAATTTGATGTCAGCTCTTTACAGTGAGATGTTTCTGGCCATAGGAGAATACTCGTGCAACTGCTCTTGTGTACTATTTGTATACTACATTTCTAGCTTGAACCATAGTTATAAAAATCGTGTGACACTGAAATTCTGAAATAGGAACTCATGCATGGGTGCATGTGTGTAGCTGGATAGCTCATGCAAAGCATTTGCTTCTAGCTGTGATGTTCTGGCACTTAGGAATTGCTTCTCTATTCTGTACAATCAAAAGACAATGTGCTTTGTGGTTAATAATTTTTTTTATCAATGTGTTCGTGCTGAGAAAACAACCAACCAACCCTCCACTCCCACTCCAAAAGAAAAAAAGCTATACCTTTTACAGTATTCATGTGAATACCAGAACTAAGCATTCTACCTGGTACTAGAAGCAAGAATTCAGATCATTGCAATCAATAGGGTTAAATTCTCCTGTAAGTAGGCTTTTGTCTTTGTTCTTTTTCTGTAGTTGTATCAGATTATGGTTCAGCAAAAATGTTCATTGGGTAAGGTGGAATACAATTGGTTGAATTGTCTTTTGCTGATGGGGTAAGAACAGCTCCTGGCAAAGCTGGTGGAAAAGCACTTTTGTTAATGAGGTGCCATTCTGCACCTGCACTGCAATCTGGTGGTTGTTTTTTTTCAGGCACTTTAAAAGTGACTCTTTTTTTGTTATATTACTCAGAATTTGGTCTCTCCATTCACTGATTGTTTCATTATTATCATATAAACCCATGCTTATTACTGTAAGTGTACTTTTACCAGTGAAAACACTAAGTTGTAAGTATAGTCTGAGTGAGGTTAAAAACAACTGAATAAGTGGCTAAAGCTTTTTTCAGCTATATTTGAATTTATTTATTTTGCTTTATAGCTTATGTGTGAATTGGGAAATGATGTTATAAATAGAATATATGAAGCGAAGTTGGAAAAAGTGGGAGTAAAGAAGCCACAATCTGGAAGTCAAAGGTAGTATTTTACCAGCAGTGCCTGTTGCTTCCTTTTATTGTTGCTTCCTTCAGCCTCCACCTGTAAAAGATGCTGCCACTTAACTGTGTTACACTCCTTTAGTGTATTCATTTCCCTGTATCACCAGTATATATTGCTCTCTCCCTTTTCTCACTCTCTTTATTGGGTATTTCTTCTATTGGTCCCTTTCTGCTTCTCCTGTTCATTTGTTCTTTTTGTGATCTCACTCCCACCTTTTGATAACATCTCTAGAGCTTCACTGTAGACATGTGGATTTTGTTTCCTCTCTGCTGGGTACCAGCTCAGCCAGCTGTACTCGATGTGTAAGTGCTCCTGGAAGGAGCCTGTGGCTGTTTCTTTTGTTTACAGTGACTTTGTTCTTCCATTTGACTTTTGTTCCCTGATCCTCAGAATGTTCTCATCTTCCTACCTACATTGTACATGAGCTCTGCTGCTTTACAGCAGCCTTCAAATCATTGTGCTTCTGTCTTCTATTTCTCTGATGCTAATCTGTGTTTGAAGGTAGATTCCCAATGTTTTGTGCTGCTGTATAGGAAGTCTCTTAAATTTGCTTTTTTACTACCTTTCCAGTTCTGTGCTGCTTGCTGCCCGGCAGTTTTATACAGAAAACTGCATTTTATGAAGTGTTGGCAATTTGGAGACAGTAATGATAGTATAAACAAAGTAGGAGATATTCTTTCTAGTGGTAACTGCTTTTCAGCAGTTTTAATGTAATAATTACAGCCCCTTTTATCAGTTTGGCACAGCTGCTATTGGGTCTTAAGGTAATAACCTCAAGTTACAAGGAAAAATACTTCAGTATGTGATATGGAATTGATGTCTGTGCCTACCTAAGGCTTGTTACTGTTTTCTTGTGTAATATTAATGTTCCCATAACAGATGTTGCAATTTATATTTACATAAGAAACTAAGTATATGTTTATTAATAGATTATTAACAAAGTAAACACATATAAAGGTTTAATACAGGTAACATAGAGTAACTAATGCTTATTTCTTCCACATACCTTTCCAAAGTCTGAAAGTAAATACATGTTTGTGAACTTAACAAAATTATTTTGAGCCTTATGCAAATTTTAATCAAGAATACAGAAAGCGACAGTGTGCTTTGCATCTTTCTGAAAATGTGCAATAGGTGTCTTATGTGCAATGCCAATCTACAATTTTGGTTACTGACTTTAGTACAAAATAGACATTTGTTTAATACATGAAAATACTAAAATATAAGCTTACTAACTCCAGGGATTTTGTATATAACAGGCAGGAGAAGGAGGCATACATCAGAGCAAAATATGTGGAAAGAAAGTTTGTAGAGAAGCAAGCTGCATCAGTACCTCTGCCTGAGCCTGGAACAAAAGTTTTGCCTCCAAGACAGGAAGAGAAAAGGCACAGTGGCCCTGAAAAATCCCTTTTGGCAGGGGAGCAAGGTGCAGCATCCCAAAGAGGTACTTACACACTTCTTTACTTAGCTGTATTACCCATTTTCTTTTTAAGGTAACATGCTTTCATATTAATTGGCTTCTGCCTCATGCAGAGAATTTGGAATCTGATTTTTAAAGGATTGTAGCCTAGTGTAAGTGTAGGGGAGAAAAGACTTCTTCAGAAATGTGCATTTTTATAGGAGGAAGGATTTGGAATGGGGATGCTTATAATTCAGAATCATATTAACCATCTTCTTTCCTCGGTATTTTCATCCTTCTTGATTTTTCCAATAACGTTCTTTCCTGCCCTATCCCTTCCTTACTGCCTGCTTTGTGCTTTGCTAACCTGCATGTCCCAGCGGTTGCTGTAAGTAGCGACGAGGCGAGGCGGGAGTCTCTGTTCTGTCCCGATGAACTTGATTCACTCTTCTCCTACTTTGATACCTCTTCAAAACTCCGTAGTAGTAAGTACTACAGCTGTGGCGTGTTCAGTATTTGCACTAGAGATCCATTGTGTCTTGTGGCCATCTCCCTGCTTCAATCTATTGTCTCCAGGCTGCTGCATTGCTTCGTATTTTCATGAAATAATTTAAGCTTTTTTACTTATCCTGATTTTTTTTTTATTTCTAATTATCTTTGACATTTATTATTATTATTTGTAAATGTTACGGTTACAAAATGTGACTTCATATTTTTCTATGGATGCATTAAGAATGCTGAACAAGAACAAGCCATTTTTTAAAAATTGTGTTCAGGACCAAGTATAAGAGCTTGCTTTATTATCATGGTATCTGTGAGGAGCAGGTAGCTTCAGCTCTGCATAGTAATTGCAGTCTCTCCCCAAAACAGTCCGAAGCAGTGACAGTGGGATCCAGCCGAGCACTGATGACAACAGAGAACACCTTGCCTCTACTATATCAGCCAACAGTTTGTATGAACCAGGTGTGTTAGGCTTTGCACTTCAAGATGAAGATTTAATCACTTGGTAGCATGGTTTTTTTGTAAAAAAGATTAGTTCTTGGTGATACGATTCATGTCTGCTATCCTGGTTGAAATGCTTTTAGCAAGGGTAAAATTTGTCCTAGGGATCTTTCCTTTGGGCTTGCACCAAAAATGGCATATAATCCTTCTAAATGGGTTCAAAGAACCGTGTTTTTTCCAGTCAGATGAGACCGATCCCAAAACATGGACTTTTTTGCAGATAGAGAAATGCTGCATTTTGGGAAAGACTCCAGAGAAATGCATGATACTTATATAAATAAATAAATCCACAGAGATAGAATTTTTATTGAGTCAGAGATAATGGGCTTTTATGTGTTATTTGTGCATTCTTGCTCAATTTTTCTGTTTCTTATTTATGTGGAATTAACCAAGTCTTTAAACATCATTCCCTCAACTCAGAAGTTCTGTAAGATGATGAATGAAATTATTTGCTCATTTTAGCATGCTGTTCTGACAGATTGAGTATGGCTCCTCAAAATTTCCAAAACACTTATTTATATAAAAGCAGATTTATTCTTCTACATCAAAGCACTCTTTTAAGGTATGTTGTAAATCCAGTAGTTCACAGGTGTTATAGCAGGCAGGCATCATGTGCCTTGGATCTTTTTGATTATGCTGTAGAAATATTTATGATGCTGAAACTCACAAAAGTTTTTATGTAACTACATCTTTATCTCCCAGACTTCACTCTGGGAGTGAAGAAAAATAACCATTTTTGAGATGAAGAGAAAGATTATGCTTTAGTCAAAAAGATCATAGCCACAGCAAGTAATTAGTAAATGACAATGGTATCTATTAACAAAAATTAGATCAGAACAGTATTAGTCTCAGGTATGATATATATTACCTTATACTCAGGTATGAGTATATTGCAGATAAATATATATTTGTATGACTACATCCCTGCAGAACATGAGTTTTATTCATATCTTGCTGTTTACAGTAAAACACACTCCAAACCCTAAACAATTTCTTAGAAATTACATGGAATATGTACACTGAAGTATATACACATGTGCCAGTAATGTAGAGAGAATGTTTTCTGTGCAGTAATAGTTCTGTGAAGAGACTGTGCCTAAATGCTGGAGCTAAAGGCTGTGAATTCCTCAGGCATAATGGGGCAACAATACATAGTATTCTGCAAAAGCTGAGCTACCTATTGCCAGAGAAATGTTTTGATCAAAATTCCAAGAGGTACCTTGTGAAAACAGGAATTAGGTAAGCAACTTTTTTTCTTTTTAGAAGGAGACAAGCAAGAATCTCCAGTGTTCTGTGACTCCAAGCAGCCTAATCCAGGATTGCAGTTGTATCAAGCTGCCTTTGAGAAAAATCTTCCTCACATGGCAGAAGCATTGGCTCATGGAGCTGAAGTAAACTGGGTCAACGTGGAGGAGAACAAAGCAACACCACTCATTCAGGCAGTGCGAGGGGTATGTGATATACAGCACTGCTGATGGGGGAGGAGAGCAAGGGAAATAATGATATTTCTGTGTCACTGTTCCTTTTGAGCTGCTTGCTTCCCTAATGAATGATAATGTGATGCTGAAACTATGTTTACAGTGTTCTTTCAGAGTTGTTTCTGAAATATTTTTTTCCTACTTTGTTTGGAATTCTCTGTCCTAGTAGTGTTTAAAGTTGATACGGAAGCAACTCTGTTTTGTTTCCTTTGCTGGGTGGCTCAGTGGTGAGAAGGCAGAAGAGGTTTGGTTTGATTCTAGAAATCTGGTTCTGAGTTGTTTCTTTGTTTTGATTCCATAGGGTTCATTGGTTACTTGTGAATTTTTGCTGCAGAATGGGGCCAATGTGAACATCCGAGACATGAAAGGAAGGGGGCCCCTGCACCATGCCACAGTTCTAGGACACACCGGGTAACTCACTACCCCACAATTTGTACATGGCCATCCTTTACTGTAATTGTTCATGTGAAGCTTCTTCATTGCCCCAGATATTCTGATACTTTAATACTATTTCAGGTGATAAAAGTTTTTCTTAAGCTCTGGTTGTGAGAGGAAATAATATCTTGATTTATCAGTCTCATCCACTAGCAAAACACACATGTTCTCTAATGTGGATTAAATAAATGGCTTGCTTATTACTGTTAGCATGTCCTAGATGACCTGCACTATTTTGATAAAAATATAAAACTCTCATTTTGATATAAATGAGTCATTTGGTGATTTAAAATAAATGCATTGTATCTTGACTTTATTAGCTTTTTTCCTTTATTCAAAGGAAATATATTCAAAAATATTCTTCAATGTTTTTTTTAATAAACAGACAAGTGTGCTTATTCCTAAAACGAGGAGCAAATCAGCATGCCACTGATGAAGAGGGGAAAGATCCATTGAGTATAGCAGTGGAAGCTGCAAATGCAGATATTGTAACACTGTAAGTTGTACATTCTGTTTTCTGACTAGGTAACTTAGATTTTGCTAGTCAGTTTCAAGTTAAAAGTACAAGAAATGTCAAAATTACTTTACATAAAAACAGGGGGGAACAAAAGAGAAACCAAAATACTCTATCCATACATGACCTCTTTGATGTGAGATTCAGGAGAGCGTTGTAGGTCTTGCATTATAATTTTTTTTGTGCTTTAAAGATGACATTGTTCCTTTTGTTTTCTGAATGGCAGGTTGCGTTTAGCAAGGATGAATGAAGAAATGCGTGAATCAGAAGGACTCTATGGGCAGCCAGGTCAATACTCTACTAATAACCACACTGAAATGCAGTATAAGAAGTGTATACAGGAATTTATCAGTTTACAATTAGATTCTTAGTGTCTGAGGGAAATTTAAGATTGCTTCATACAAAAATGTTTTTTATAAATCAACACATTCTAAAGTTTCATTGAAATTAAGTGATGTGACTTTGTCAGAGTACTTAGGGAACCTAAAAGGAGACTGTTTAAAGAGCATCATTATGGCAGTGCATTACTACAGCCATGACCACCCTGTTTTGCTGGTAGTTGTCCAGAGTTTTCTCCTATTGCTGTTCCATTGGCATTTGTGTAACGTTAGGATTTACCTGACATTATTTAGTAGCAGCTTTCTGACTCAGCCTGCTCAGAGACAGTTAAAGAGTTCATCTTATTCCAAGACACCATTCTCTCCTTCCTGTGGAATGGTCTGCTTTTTCTTTTTTTAAGAAAAAAGCTCTTGCACACCAATGTAAGAAATGTACTTCAAATATTTCGAATTGACTCCAGACAGAAACAGGAAAGTATTATTTCCTTAAATTTTATTTTTAAATATTTTTATTTGTTAAGATACTAGTAAGAAACAAAACAGTCATTTTTAAGTATGTATTTTTGTATGCAGATTCTTTCTGTTAGGTTAAAAAACAAATAGAATCTGGCAGATACTTGAGCCAACTCCAGCAAGAAAGTAACAAATTATATTTTATGCATATGTGCAGCTTTATTCTCAGGCCTAATTTACACCATGTTCTGATGTGATACTTGCTTCCATAGGAAGGTAATTTAATCAAAGTCATGCAGATACCCATAATGAAGGCACACTTAATTGTGAAGTTGGACAGCTAAAAACACCCTGTTGTTTGGGACAGAAGTGAAAGGTGAACCTTATTTTTCAGGTTGAGTGCTGAGTACTCTCAGTTCACTCCTATAAACCCTTATGTGTTTTCCACTGATTCATGAGGATTGGGCAGGGGGGATGTTGCCAGATTGGAACATCAGAATCTAGAGACTGCAGTTGATGCAGTCTGATTGAGATACTTTATACAGATGGTAAGGTGAGATTGACAGTGAAGAGTAGTTTTGCCACAACAGGCAGAGTTAGCCCAAAATCCGGGGGAGGCTCTCATTGGAATAACTTCCGAAATTAATGCCACAAGCTGTAGCTCAGAGTCCCAGCCAGAACTTACTGTATCTTTGGATACAATACATACAGGGCACAGCTCTGCCCCCTTCACTGTTACTTGTTAAAGTCTCTTTTAAAAGTTGAAGTCAATATTTGAGCTTTTTGAATTGTGTCTGCTATAGATTTTGAAATTTTTGAATTTGTGTCTGCTATGGAAGGATTGTGTCAGTGTAAGCACAAAACCTGTCTGCTGCTATGAGGTGTCACACCTTCCTGTGGTTTGCAGGGATGCAGGTCTTTTCCACTGCATATACATGTTGAATTATCTGCACTGCCCTTGCTTTAGAGCTCCAGTTTTCCAAAATTATGATTCTAGAAGGAAATAAGATTTTTAGGACAATTGTATATTTGCTGGTAGCTAAGCGAGGGTAAATATCGTTGTATGAGTTTGCTGCCATCAGAGTGAAACCAACTGCCTACTTCTCAGCTCTAGCAATGCAGCTGATAAACAATTGCTCATGTAGCTTAATGGCATCAAAATTGATAATTTTAATATATATGGCTAGTTTGAGCTACTGAGAGAATGAATATTGCTTTGCAAGGTACAGTTGGTCTTCCAAAACATCCCTGGAATGGGAACTAGCTGAAACCAGCTCGAAAAGGTTGTTTCTGATGGTAGAAGCCATATGCACCGTAGTACTGTTTCTGTATAATACTTGACTGCTCATCTCCTGGTGCTACAGTACATCTTGCTAACTCTTTGATATTAGCATTGCTACTTTTTCTTCCTACCTTTTCTTGAATGTATGATGTGTGCCTTTTGAGTTATTCTGGTGTTAAATTGTAAAGCAGTGTTACAGTATTTTTGTACATAGAATCTGCACTTTAGGGAAAACATTGCTTGGATAGGGAACTTCCAGAATTCAACTTTAAAGTATAACTTTAAAATAATGATAAGGTTTACAGTATTTAGAATTTGAATGTGACATACAAACTAAAGTGGCACTTTATTTTAGTCTATTTTTGTATGTAATAATTTTGTTATGTAATAGAGACAAAGCCAGAGCCACAATGTATCTTGCAAAAATAGCTTTTTTTCTTTCAAGTTAATTTGAAAGAACCAAGTGTGGAAACTTGAACTGCAGTTCTCATTCACCAGTGGAACCCACTTCTGTACTAGAAGCAAAATTGCTTTTATCACAGAAGCCTAATTCTTTGCCCTTCATAGCTGTTCTTTTGGTGAATATTACAGCTCCATTCTGTGCTGGTCTTCCAGAGCAAGCAGCTCTCACAAGCTGTTACAATAAAACCTGTCCTGTGCTTGCTTCATCTCTGGAACACTGAATCACTGAATGGTTTGGGTTGAAAGGGACATTAAAGATCATCTAGTTCCAACCCACCTGCCATGGGCAGGACACCATACTTGAAATTAAATCTGAAAACCAAAAAGGAATTTCTCTAGAACTGACTTTTCCTAGTAGAGCAGTATTTAATGTATTCATCTTTTAAAGTCTGGAAAAAATTGTGTTACTGCCATGTTAAATATTTCTGGAAGGTCAGTTATTATTTGTGAAAGTGTTTTTAGAAGAATGGAGTCTCATCTCCAAAAGAATAACAGTTTTAACATTGGAAATGTGTATAAAAAAATCAAAAAACAAAACAATGTAACTTTTCCCAGTAGTGCAAACTTTTAAGCACAAAAACATTCTTTTCTTCCACAATCATATTAGAAAAAAAAAAAATCTTCATATTCAGTGTACACAATGAGAGAGATTTTGGGTTGATTTCTCTGTCATGCTATTAAATCAAGCTGTCAGCAAGAAAGAGTAGTGCTGGGATCTTGTGTCCTTTGTGGCCATCTGTGTTGGGAAGACTCTAAAACTTGGATGGCTGCATAGTTCCTGACCCAACCCAATGTTTGATGTATATAATTACTTTTGAAGACGAAAGATGATGGTTACTGTGTTAAAACAGAACTTGAACTCAAGGCCCAAAATGCTACAACAGATTAAAGAATGTGAAAATGAGTGAAAAATGTCCATTTTAAAGCAGTAAAAGAATGACTTGGCAATGACTCAAGTCAAGCAATCAGTCCTCAATGTGTTTTCCTGTGTAGACAGGGAGGGGGAGGAACACATTTTGGAACATGTTCTAGGAATAGGGTTGTGTTTAAGCACAAAGGGTGAAGGTTTAGGAAAAAAAAAAAAAAAAAAAAGCTTTTTAGGGGAAGTATCATTGTTCTTCTAAATCAAAATGAAAAATGTAATGAAAGTTGTAGATTAAATTAATGTAGAAATTTTATTTTTGCTGAAGTACCAAATAAGTGACCAAAATAATTTATGGACAATAATTTATCTACTTAAGATTGTTTTTTTTTAATATATATATATATTATTGCTGGCTGATTGTTTCTTTCATGGAGAGTTCTGTTTGGCTGTAAGAATTCTGATCTCTGTTTCTGAGTAAACCTTTATTTATGCCATAATTCTATTTTTCTGTAGAGAATCTTGGTTAGCAGTTCCTTTACAAACAAGGATTTTACTCTTTTATTCCTAACAGCTAATAAATATTTTTCTTTTTTAAGTTGCTTTAAATTGCTTTAACTTTTCCTTTCTAACTCTGAACTTTCCTCTGTGTGGCTGCCTGTGAGGTACTATTTCAGGTATAGTTTGGCTTTGTTTAATTTGCTTCTACAGAACATGCATGCAAGTAAGCAGTCCCTCTGAGTTCACATCAGCATCACTCCATCTAGAAGCAGTCTTCATACATGAATAAATGTTACACAGTAATTGATAGCACAGTAGGGCATTTGTGTAATGGTGGGTGATGTTGACTATTACAAATGTTTACAACTGTTTCCCTTTTCTTTTCTACCTAGGAGATGAAATTTATCAGGACATTTTTCGTGACTTTTCTCAAATGGCATCAAATAATCCAGAGAAGTTAAACCGCTTCCAGCAGTCAGATTCTCAGAAGTCTTAAGTGTCAAGAAGGAAAAGAACCTGAAGCTTATAGTGCAAGTCTTTTTTTACTTTAACAGAATGAATTGTATGCATTTTGTTAGATAGTTTGGATAAAATGACCACTCCGATGTAGCTTTAGATTGTGGTAGCTGGGGAAATGTATGAGTTGGTTTATGTTCTACAGTACATATACCTCAGCAGCTGAAGATGTTTAAAGCCCCTGAGTACCTGCTAGCTCCGTGTAAAGCAGCCCCTGTTACACGCGCAGCGTTTGCAGCTCGCCCTGGGGGCGGCAGAGCACGGCTGGAGCGCTGCGGGCTCCCACTGCAGCATGGTCACAGCAGCTTTGCTACCCAGTGTCATCCACTGTCATCTGTCCCCCTGTTGCCATAAAGAATGTGCCTCTGACAAGGTCTAGGTTGCATTTTCTGGGACTGGTTGGAAGGGAAATTGGGTAAGGACTTACTGAGTAGTCCTTCTATTTGTGGAACTGCAACTCAACAGATTCTCTTGTTCCTACGTTGACTCTGGTTAGAGGTAGGCTGTTCATAACAGATGTGGTAACTCCAGCTTTTTGCAAGCTCTTTCACGGTGGAAGCCCTAGCACCAGGCTGGCCTTTATGATGGTGACTGCAGGTCAGTCACAAAGGGATATATCCTGGGGACCAAATTCCTAAGAGCAGTTCATTTTCCTTTGTTTTTCTTTTCCTCTTAAATTAAACTTTCACTGCAGCAAGTATTCTTCTAGATGAGCATGTGGAACCTTTCATGAAAAATAAACGTCATCCTTTTGGACATGATGTGGGGTTTGTTTGTAGTATTATGACATGTAAACTTGAAATTTAAGACATGAAAGTAAATATTGAGCCAACAACATTTGTGTAGAATAGTTGTACAAAGGCTATTTCTACTTTTTGCTGTTCTCATTACTAGCCCTAAGCTCACTATAAAGTCTCATGTCTTGCAGCCACTCTAAATTTAGGGCCATCAATCCTTTCTATCAGGAAGCAGTAGCCCTTGTATAATTTCAGTGATGTGTATGTTTATGTGTTGTCTAAATTAAGGTGAGCACAAGAAAAACTAGAATTTCAGTGGACATTTTTGTCAAGTAACGAATGAGCACAGTCTCCAACTGTTGTGAGGACAGCAAGACAATTTGCTTTATTGAGCAGTGAGCCCCATTCTGCCCATGTGCATGTATAAATGCTGTCTCTAGATATATGCTTATGTATGAGGTTATTTGTACCTAGATAATAATACTCCTAAACCCCAAACCAGCAGGTGCAATTCTTTATCTTCTATTTGCCTGCCCCATGGAGACAACTTAAGCAGAGTTCTTAGGTGACATAGTAAGTTTTCAGTAATCCTAATAGCTGTGGCATTGTATTAACCTGCTGTTTAAGTGTATTAGGAAATGAAATGGCTTTTCTTCATGGAAAGATGAGCAAAACTGGGATAAACAAATTGAAATCTGTAAACTAAGGTAAAGTTAAACTTTCTGGCATTTCAAGTTTTAAGAAGGTATTTCAAGTTAAAATTCAATTTATAATTTTGCATCAAATATGTAATAATGTATCAAATCTGCATATTATTATTGCTACAAAATTAGTAGTGTTGTAGAATTGTCCAGTGGATTTTATTTCCAAGCAGAAGAATCTTACAAGACAGTTCTTACTTCGTATGTGGTCTAATTATGGTAGGAAAAACAGATTCTACCCATTCAAAGTATGTGTTTAGTCTGAATAATAAGAAACTTAAGGATATCACCTGTAAACAGTAATTTTAATAAGCTGGTTTTTAAATAGCTGCCTATGAAATGATAATACACTTCCTAATCAGCAATATTTACCAGCAAATGGGTACAATTGGACGGGTGCTGTTCCAGCTGCTCATTAGTACATTGTGGACTTCAGCCTCTCTGCCCATTAGGACCTGATCCAGGAAGTCGCTATCAGTAGCAGTCTTTCCACTGATTTTGGACATTTTGGATTGTTCCATTCATGGCTTTTCATGTTAGAGTGCTAAAGGATCCTATATTAATACTCCATTTTTCACTCTGTGGGTTTTATATTTTACCTGTTTGTATACTGAGCTGAAATAGTTTTAGAAAATGCAACCAGACCTTCCAACTGCTGTCAGCAAATCCCTGTACAAGAGGAAGTTTCTCCTGTTTTGCATTATGACATCAGTACACATGTGTTGTCCAAATTACTAGGTCTGCTGGATAGAGCATAAACTTTGTAGCACTAAACTAAAAAGGTGAGAACTAGAACAAGTGGAGGGTTGATGTCATGTTTCCAGGACTTTGGTGCTTCTGTGCAGCCATCTGTTTTAAATTGTGAATGTTACTTCTGCTGCTTCATCTTGAGAATCTCAAATAACACCCTGACAATGAAACAACCCTTTGATGAAACTGCAAATAGTAATATGTAAGTACAAAGGACATGATATTTTTACAGTGTCACAAGGACTGAGGTGATTATTCTGATTCTTCAATACACAAAAAATATTTTGAGGATCAATTTTTAGGGCTACAATCTCTGCCCCATTCATTATGGACGCTTTTTCCCAAGTTAGAGTTTATGGCTTGTGCAGTCTGACAGCCACCATGCCTTGCTCCTGTGCTTACACAAAGGCACAATTTTAAAACAGGGACAACTCTGGAAAGGCACTACTGGGGAAAAGGATGAGTGTACCACTTTGGTATATACCCTTTCATATGCTTGCTTTATCTTTCTGTATACGCTATTTTCTTGTTTCTCTTCCCATGGAAGGAGATAGGGGAGGAAAAATTCCACTGACTTTTCTGTTAGAAGCCTAAGTTTTCCATGTTTTGACAGAAATCGCCAAGAAATCATCGTCTTCTCAAGCAGACCGAAATAATGATTTTTTTTTTTTATTATTTTATTTTTTCCTCCGCGCGTTCCTCTGTACTCGGTGTTTTTTAAGCGTTCCACCAGTAAAATGTACACAAACCCTTCCCCCCCTTAAGCTGTAAGTGTACAGACTGTATACGCCGGCCTCCCCCGCGTTGAGTAGGGCTGTAGCGTGTGTAAGCCTTGCGTGCCGTGTGTGCTGTGTGGCGGCGCCGGGCCGGG